AATGATTTTACTAAGTATAAATTAGTAGTATAAAGTACTGTATCGTCTATCTCTAACAGTAATAATTATTCTTTATTTCAAGCAACTGTGATGTCTCTTATTTTACTTCTAGATTCAGGTCTCTTACTATCATAATAGGTTTGTCCTATATATTTATTAATAGACAATATATACAGCCGTCCACACGATTTTAAATACTCATTACATATTAAAATAAAAACGTAGCAGTACGTAAGTTGAGCGCAATTCTCAAAATACTCGATAATACGCTTACATATTATATCCGCTTGGATATTATATCTAATAAAAATATTATATTTTCATACAATACACAGAGATTTTTTTTATTTGCTTTTTAATTCTCAATTCAAAGTATCATCATCATATCAGCCTTTAACTGTCCTCTGCTGAACAGAAGTCTCCCCCTTTGAGGGATTTTGCCAGTAGCTGCCACGTTTATCAGGCGGAATGGCAACCGCAGTTAGGTTTTAGAGATGTTTTAAGAAGAACGCTGCTGCCCATTCCTCGCTCTCCCTTAGTCGCCTCTTACGACACCTACGGGAATGGAAGGGATACCCTATTCTATGCCGAGACAACACGGTCATTCAAAGTATAGTCGTATTTAATTCTCAATTCAAAGCATTGTAACTCGTATCTACACAGTTCAATTTATCAAACACGTAATCAAATTGAGACATTTTGAACGGCTGATGGAAGATGGAATATAGAATTCATGTTCAAAATTTTTATCCGACTGCCAAATAAATAAAAAAAAAGTTTTTAAGCGACTTAAGCGACGAAAGGAAGGGTCTTATATATATATATATATATATATATATATATATATATATATATATATATATATATATATATATATATATATATATATATATATATATATATATATATATATAATTTAATTTTAATATATATCGTATGCGTTCTAATTTATACAATATTTTGATTTAATATGACGCTCTTGATAATAATACACTTATAAATTATTTCTTTTTTGAGAAAAAAAAAACTTGCTTGCGATATTAGGATAAAGTGTATACTTAATAAAAATCACTGTATAACATAGAATAAGAACAGTACCCAGGAGCTTAAAGTTTTTTTTTAATGTGGTAAAATGTTGGGAAGTTATAAATTGCATACAATCTTGCTTAGTTTAAAATTTTAAAATTGGAATGAATTTTAAAGTCGCTGTCAGCTGTATCGTCAATAGATATATCGAACGATTCTATTGTAGAGTACCTGAGAGCGTTATAACAGCGTTTAACATGTCTTGTTGTTGCATTATCTCATCAATCCTTCTATAGTTATGATGTCTGTTACTGTGACATAGGGTGTGATTTCCTTGGATTTATTATTATGTGAGTTTTATTGTTATTCTATTTTACGTTAATAAAAAGGATTGAGGGTATCATTGTAACCAACCTGAAGGATACATAACAAGGATTTTTTTTTTATTTAGTGATATCTACGTCTATGTGTGGTTTACGTTTACTGGGTATCAGTGGAGAAAGATGGGTGAGATTAAAGTCAGATCAAACCTATCGTAAAAAATTCATCAGGAAGTCGTGTACATATACTCGTTGTTACCAACATATTACTAATAAATGGGGACGCTACTCTCCGTTATCAGAAACTATATTTTTGTACTGTACTAACAATTCTCTCTTTTCTCCTCCCCTTTGTTAAAAGAATATTTTTTCATCCTCCAAATAGTACATCACAGCAACAGTCTAAGATAAAATAAAGAGATCTGGAGAATGCATTTGACCGATAGAATATTCATTTATTTATATATTGCTATTAAATTTCCTATTACTTTAATATATTAAAAGTTTCTTATTTTTTTATGACTATAAAAGAAGGGGTTGTTGTATTTTTTGTTCTGATGTATGACTTTTGTGCTAGTCTTGAAGCGATTGCAATATTTAATTTTGCTATTTTTTTTTCCAAATAATTTTATCCAAAAAATAATTTATTTGACCTCAAATTATTTTTATTTATTAAAATCGCTTCTCCCGATCAAGACCTCAGTGTTTGAGGCATTATTATATGATTTTTTTATCTCATACAAGCTATTATACAAATTCGTGCTCGCGACTATTTTATGAAACCATAAAAAAAGTGTGATAAAATATATTTTTATACTGATATTAATAGCTACCAGATGTCATATTTAGTCGTGTGGTTCCAGATTTTTATAGAAATAACACGAAAGCACAACGGAAGTAAATTATATTGCGAACATTTTTTATTGTAATTTCAGTGACTCAATCCATGATTTTGTTTATGTTTCTAGGCGATAGTTACTCCTTTTTATCAGGTGAAATATCAGCTTATTTGCTATTCTAAATTTAAAAAAAAAAAGGAATAGTACAGCGATGAATCATTCATAGTATTTTATTCTGGATTACAAGAAGGGATCAAAAAGTAGTGAGAATAAGATAGAATACAATGACTATTGATAAAACTGAAATTGGACAATATCTGTACATAGAAAAATTTATAGATCGTAGAAAAAGACCGTTCGTTTTAATAAGAACGATACAAAACCATGATAAGCAAGATCTTTACCCGACTGAAACACTTTTAAATACATACATAGTATTGTATGTATAATAATATAATATGTATTATTATACATACAATATGTATAATAATACATATTGTGATGCATACAGTTCTGTAGATGTTACGACAACCATTTCCGTCGAAACACTTATCATAAAATACACCAAAATTTTGACGGAAATAGAAATTTAAGGGGGAAATTTAAGTAAACGACACAATTTCTATAGAGATAATCTATTTGGTTACGTTGTAAATAGGTACCAACACACATTATATAAAGTTCGAAATATTCAATTTCGGTACAAGTTATATGTAATATATCAAATTAGAATACATGTATAGCAGCTCTTTAACCTCTAGAAGATAGCTAAAAGTAATTTTATAATATAAAAATATATAATATGGACACTTTCTCCTTTTGGGATCTCAAGATTGACTGGAAGAAATTCCTTGAAGGAGTAAGTTCTCCTTGTATACGTTTTTGTTTTAGCCTAATAATATAATAGATCATTGAAATAAAAACAAATAAATAGAGTATTGTAAATATACCCAAAAAAGTTTATCATAAGTTGGAATTAGTCACCCGGCGTTGCTATCTCATTCTATTTCACGGACTCGCTAGCGATGTCGATTCTATCGACATATTCGCTTGCCACTTGTATAGAGGCCCAGGTAACACAACTACTATGATTAGAACAGGGCCGCATTATCCATTAGGCAGTATAGGCAACTGCTTAAGGGCCCACCATCGGTCAGGAGACCTTTGCACCGAAACAATTTCTTTAAAGGAAATTACATTTAAAGATTTGTATTTAATAAACATTCAAGAAAATATTGTTTTTCTTTTTTATATTACATTGTCATATTTCATTATATTTCGTAATGCATTTCAAATTATTATACGTAGAATAATATTATAGCAGTTTTTTTTCGTGCCCTTAGTGGCCCTGACATCCGGCATTGGATTAGAGGATTCAACCAAATGAAGTAGGTACTCATTTGTAACCATTTAATATCGTTTACAATTGTAAATACAGTATCATTTGTAGTCAAACGTTGTTACAAATTTTGTAACAATTGTTATGACATCTAGACACGGAATTTCATAATCAACTAACTCTATTAATATCTTGTGCAATGGCATTTATCTATTTATTTCATTTAATTTGGATTAACTTTTATATCCTTATTAATATCGTAAACTAGGGGCAGCCCCTAACTCAATTTTTTACCTTTCCGTAAACAAAACAACAAAAATATTAGGAAAAGAATAGATACAACCGTTCCAAAGTGATGCACTTAGATGTACATATATTAGGCAATTTATTATTATTTATATAGGTGGTAAAGTCAGCTTATATGTATTCTTTGAAAGTACGAAAAAATCAAAAGAAAAGGCTGTTTCTGCTGCAGCATATATTTCGTCATTTTCTAGGGAATCAAAATTTATAGGGTGCTTGCCATTGACACAAATAAAGGGGAAAATACAAAAACAGTAAATTTGTAGTTACATCACAAAAAATATATATTTTGCAAAATATTTTCTTTTTTCTAATTTCAATTTGTACGGAACTCTCTGTACGCGAGTCTGATTTGCACTTGGCTGGTTGTTTTTACATTTATCACAATGCATTGATCTTCGTATGAATCTATTATTCTATGTGTATTCAAACACAAAGCTTCTATGCGTACCTGGTGTTTTTTAACGAGTGTTTTTTAATATTTTGACACAATTACGTATTGTCATTCAATAATTACAGACCACATTTCTATGTATTAACTAGCCACAAAATTGCCTCATCGTTACATTTTAGGCAACTACCCATTAGTAACGCTACATCCATTATAAACATCGGGTATTGTGAACTGCTATCTATTAGGAAAATTATAGTTTTATCAGTTTATACCATTTGTGTAGCTGGCAATATAAAAGAAAATATCAATTCTCTACCACTTTTACACTGTACATGACTAAATAAGCAATATGTTCAACAAAATAAAGTAAATAAAAATCTATGAACAGAAATAAAGAAAAATAACAATAATATAGAGTCATTTGTTATCTAAATTATTATAAAAAGAATCTTATAACACTGCCTGAGAAATACATAAGACTTAGACCCGTTTATAAACAAACGAATAACAAAATACTGTACTTAATTGGATAAAACTCTTAAAATATAAAACAATTGCTGTAAGTACGTATGTATCCCGTAATATAAATCAAATGAGAATAAAGATCCATATATTTATTTAATTTGCAATTGGTATTTAACGTAAATCTAAAACATGATGGAAATATTTATAATTCAAAGTATTTTTATTCTTGTGTAAATGTAAAAAATATAATTTATCTATTATATACACACCTTACATTTTAAATCAAATTTATTATAATCTTGTTTCAGGGAATCTTATGATAGCAAAATGCCGAAGATTATCTTCAAAATTAATGGGAGACGATACGAAGGTGAGTTTACTTTGTTTCGTGACTATTTTATAAGTATACAAATTCATGTATTTTTGATCTTGTCAGCTATTTTGACCAACGCGATCGTTGTTGACCAGTATGCGTTTCGTAGCAAATGAAAAGGTTTGCTATCTTGAAATATTTTAATTCCTTAGTTTATTTAAATGAAAAAAAAAAAAAAACAATGCTACACAACGCATTATTCACCAGTGTAACGCATCGTTACGTTTTACAAGACCGTCCTCCTCCCAAATTGCATTACGTAAAAACTGACCGCCCCCTATACTGTACCTATTTTAATTTTAAATTGTATTTTTCGTAGTTGATGGTAAATATGGTCCAGATGTGTCCCTAAATGAGTATATACGAAATGTAGCAGACTTGAAAGGTACGAAAGCCATGTGCCTTGAGGGTGGTTGCGGCGCGTGTGTGGTAGCAGTCTGTGCTTCGCTGCCACCAACCAACGAATTGAAAATATTTTCTGTCAATTCCGTAAGTTATGATACTTGTCCAATTCCGTACCTTAAAATTGTCTTGAAATGATTGCTTTTGCAATATGAGCGACAAAAAAAAATACAAATATATGTATTTTTTTAATTGGCAATAATGGAATAGTAACCCTTTCCCGGAGGAATTGATTGGATGTCGACCTGTTAAGGTATATTGCTAACAATAAAGCTGTTAAATCTCCGTTATTAATAATTCCTTTCCGCAGAGTATCTATTATTATATTCAATTGCTTGTATCCTTTTATTCACTAACTTTTATTCGCGACTTCGTTCACGTGATTGGAGTATGTTGATTCATCATAAACATCATACCAGCTTTTGACTATCCACTGCTGAACATAAGCCTTCCTCTTGGTGGAGTTTACCAGTAGTTGCCACACTTGGCAGACGGATTAACAATCGCAGTTAGTCTTTAAAGATGTTTTAAGAAGGACGCTGCTGTCCATCCTTCGCTCTTCCTTAGTCGCCTCTTACGACACCCACAGGAAAGGAAGGGGCCTATTCTACACCGAGACCACACGGGATGTATGTTGATTGCTCGGGAAAGGTTATTTTCTTCTCTATTTTAAATATATATTAAATATCATCACGATTCGTTGAGTCGGTAAAGAGGTCACACATAAACGAAATCCACTTTTATGTTTATAATATTAGTGAGTTGTATAATGCAAATAAATATATACTCAATCATAACCATTAATTATTTTTTCACTAAAATATTTATTTATTTATACTTGTGCACACATTAAAATATGTCTACAGGGCGAACTTAATGCCTGATGGCATTCTCTAACATTCAACAATAACGCTATACAGAGAGGGTAAATGACAATGCATTGGTCTAACAGAATCAATTTAAAAATAAAATAAAAATTAAAGATAGCAACAGAAATACATTTTAAGATGAATGAAAATACATATGTAAATTACATACAATACAATACATGTATAAATAAATATAAGTATTACATATAATGTAATAAATATATAAGTCACAGCTAATCATACAGTAGTACAGATTGAAGCTTATCATTGTTATAATAATTTGAAATAATGTTCCCAAATAGACTCTTTGAAATAAAATTTAATATATAGTTATATAAAGAAATGACTGGTTTTACAAATCTACAATTTGAAATATATTTATTTATTCACAGATAATATGAGATAAATGTTTCTAATGGAATAAATTTATATAGTTAAAAAAAAAAATCCTTAAGATCACTGCCAGCTGGTAGGGTACCTAGGAGACATGCTGCATTTCCACGCTGAATAGCTATGAAAATGCGTAAATCTACAATTTAATTCAACATTCCCCCATATTAATTGAGATCGAAAAAAGTGAGTTTAACTTGAAGACTGGTTGCGTCGTGTTATTACTGCAGTAGCCTCAAAGATGTTTGTGGTGTTTCAATTATTTTAATTTTTTTTTTTATGTTTCTCTAGTGGGACGTTTTCTTAAAAGGCTAATGACTTCGATTTCAAATTGCGTTAATGAGCATAAGAAGGGATTTCACGAAATTGCTACGGAAACAAGAGATATTGAATACTGTGGAGAACAGTCATAAAATATAGCGTGTTTTTTATAATAAAATCAAAATGTTCTACCTTTGATACAACAACGGATTTTATCTATATTTAGATATAAAATATTAATAACGTCAACTTAATAACTTGTTCCAGTGTTTAGTGTCAGTATTATCATGTCATGGCTGGGACATAATAACCGTTGAAGGAATCGGGAATCGAAATATTGGATACCATGAAATACAAAGCAGATTAGCCAATTTTCATGGAACTCAATGTGGATATTGCACTCCTGGATGGATTATGAACATGTATAGGTAGGAGATTGCTTCTAATATTAAATAAACTTGTTTACGATTCACTATATAAAAATGATAAATAAGCTAACGACCCAACTAATAGAATATGCTAACAATTATTTATATACATCAATAATACAAAGGACTTCGTGTGAGGTTTCTTGGGAAGTTAGTGATACCTCGTGTACTCTAGAGATAGATTTGAATTACAATTGTTAATACTTAAGGAAAAAAATAAATCATATTGTGATGGTGAAATAAGAATATAGTGTGATATGCCACTTTTATATCGCCAACCAACACCAATATTATTTTTATGTACATCAGGTATTCAAAATGTCGAACAAGGCAATTAGGGAAATAAAAACTACCAATACTAAATTTCAAATAAAACATCACTTGGGTAGTATAATATCCTCCTCTTAACAGGAGAGATCAATGCCCAATTATGAAACGTCGATAAATTTTCATGACGATAATGATGATCAGAAAAATAAAAATTAGCAAATAGACGTGATATTCTATTTATAAGTGTAACCAAATAATGCTACTCTCTAGAGTTGTGTATGATGCAAAAATTTATGAAAGCTTTTTACTTACGAAAAAAAATTTTGGTAACACGTTTGTAACATTTTGATGCATTATTAAATATAGGCTGCTAAAATAAGTAATACGATTTAAATTAAAATAATATTGTAACAATAAATTTGTTCACAGCATCTACGAAAGTAAAAATAAAAAATTTAGTATGACCGAAATAGAGAATTCATTTGCTAGTAATATATGTAGATGTACCGGATACAGGCCAATTGCTGATGCTTTCAAAAGTTTTGCTACAGACGTGGATGACAACCTTAAAGCTAAAATTATCGATTTAGAAGATTTATCAAATTTAAAATCATGTGGAATTCATTGTAAACAACAATGTCGACATAAAAATGATAAAGAAAAATCTTTATTATCTACCAGAGATAATAATGATGAATGGTGCATTCTTGAAAAGGGTATTACAAAAATGATTGTGATTGATTGTGGGACCCACAAATGGTTCAAAACTTATAGGTTACTGGATGTGTTCAAAGTTATGGCGTCAGGTGATAACTATAAATTAGTTGCTGGAAATACAGGACAAGGTAACTGATTTAATTGAATATTTAAATAAAATATATAGAAATATAACTAATAAATATTTCACAGCTGGATGAAAGGCTGAATAATATCGCTATATTTATAAAATCTGTAACAACTTATAGATTAACATATATTATTTTCTTATTGAATGTAAATCATTTTAATATTAAATTTCATCATCTCATTATTCTAAAAATTTAATACATATCATGTTTAATACATACAATTCCTGTATTTCAATAATATAAAAGGATTATTGAATTTTATCTTAGGATTTTCAATCTATATAATAAGTCAATACTAACAATCAAAATGAAGTGTTAATATCATATACATATTTCTTACCACTGTTTATGTCTTCTAATGCTGACGTCACTTTTTACAGGTGTATTTCACGTTCAAGAATATCCTCGCAATGTTATAGATATATTCAATGTGAGCGAGTTGAAAGCATCTATGATCGATGAAAACCTAATAATAGGCGCTGGTGTACCATTGTCAGAAATGATGGAACTCTTCCTTAAAATTTCAGCAGAAAATGAAGATTTTGCATATTTAAAACAATTTTATGATCATATGGATCTAGTTGCACATATTCCTGTTAGAAATGTAAGATATATATTTATATATCAGTAATGTTTTGAAGGGTGGAATATGGCAGTAAATTTATAGGGTACAGAGGAATAACACCCGAGTCCTCAGGAATAGCAACACATGCCCCCCCCCCTCCCCATATGTTGCTATTCCTGAGGACTCTACGAAACGAGGACTATCATGAAAGAGTATACTCTGTTATGTCCATGGTACTGCTAATGTCTATAGGTGACGGTTACCGCTTTACATTAGATGACCCGTCAGATTGTTTGCCATTCTAAGTTGCATAAAAAATACATACTCTGTTCCTTTTAATATTGAATAATAATTATTGAACATAGATAATATTTATTGAAATTATATTTTTTTTAATTTTAGATAGGTACAGTTGGAGGGAACTTATACATGAAATATGTTAATAATGAATTTCAATCCGACTTATTTCTACTTTTTGAAACGGTTGGTGGAATGATTACAATAGGTAAGTTTGCCCACTATTTTACTAAAAACTATCCATACTTTATTTTTAATGCAAAATACTCATATTTAGTATTAGCGTTTTGTGATTACTTATAAAAAAAAATATATTTTGTGTTGTATATTTTTAAGTTACAATTACTATAACTCGATCACCTAGTCATCAGATAGACCTGAACAAATATTTTTTTGTATTAATATGCTTTTCAAACAATCTGACTATTTTGATAAAAAATTATAAATGTAGTATAATATTTATCATTCAAATAAATTTATTTAATCTTGATATATCCTTATTATTATAAGACATATATTTATCTAAACATATGCTTCAATTTTCAGCTGACAATATCAGAAACTTTAAAAAGTTAAGTTTTCCGGAGTTTTTGAATACAAATATGAACAAGCATATTATTATAAATATACTATTGCCACCATTATCTCTTTGTTGTACAGTTAAAACTTATAAGGTACAGTATATTTCTAAACAATAAGTAGTAAAATAGTTCCTTCTAAAATTTATGTGGATATATTTTTCTTTTAAATATCTACAAAACGTTACATGCAATACCAAGATCATTACATGCGTGTTCCCGATTCTAAAGAAACCTCTTTACCCATTTCTGAAGAACTCAAGCTAAATAAAACTCTAAATCTACTAAAACTATTGTAAAAATTCAGCAGCATGCATTTTTTATAAAAGATAAAAATCCAAGAAAAAAATCCCTAGTAGTAGGGCTTTCCAACGCCCATAATCACAGATTCGCATGAAATCCTACAGAAAAATACAATATTACTAATAGTAATAACATGAATACATTAAAATAAATAAATAAATAGATATCTAATACGTTTCAGATAATGCCTAGATCCCAAAATGCTCATGCTGTAGTTAATGCTGGTTTTTTATTCCAATTCAAGAAAAATACTTACACTCTGGAGAAAGCGACGATTGTCTATGGTAGTATCTCACCGAAATTTATTCACGCGAGTAAAACAGAAAACTTATTAATAAACAAAGACCCTTATACAGATGAAACACTACAATTAGCATTAAAATCATTGCAAGAAGAAATAAATCCTGAAGAAGCACCCCCAGAGCCATCATCGGCTTATAGAAAGATGTTGGCTTTGGCTTTATATTATAAGGTAATTGTTTTATATTCAAAAGTCTAAAATATCTATATAATTTAATAATACTTTGAATTATGAAAAGTAATATTATAAATGAGGTACTAGGTTTTATTCACGAACCGGTAAGGAAAGTTTGTTTCCTAAATGCACTCGAGTCTGGGTTGTGTAGGTTTTATCTCTAAATTGTTTTCATCGCACATAGTATCTTAGTTTAGAGATTAAAAAAAATATATTTACTGTAAGCGATAATGAAATGATAAAAAACACTTTTAGGCAATTTTAAGTACATGTCCGGATGATAAACTTAACCCCAAATATCGATCGGGTGGTGAAGCAATAAAACGTGATACTTCAAAAGGAGTCCAGGTTTTTGATACAGATAAATCCATATGGCCATTAAACCAACCTGTAGCTAAGCTAGAGGCTATGGCACAATGCTCAGGAGAAGCTACATTTGCTAATGATCTACTAACGGAAACTGGCGAAGTTTATGCTGCTTTTGTTACTGCTGATGCAAACCCTGGCAGCATCATTAAAGGATTTGATGCATCAAAAGCTTTAGTAAGTTTTATTAAATAAAATACTATATCTTTTTCCTTTTTTACACTGTGAATATTAAGACAATTGATATTGTTTCCGGTAATATAGAAACAAAGGAAATTATCTTTCTCAGTTATTTAACATCGTAAAAGTTGTTGTGTAGTTTTAAATTATTCGTAGAATATTATGTGATCTGTAAATTAGGTATCAGCTATTTTATATTCTAATTCTCATAATATTAGGATACAGTATAATTTTTAAATTATATTTATATATTTTATAATGTTTTAAGTATTATTATTGAAACACATTTATTTAAATAATTTAACATGGTTATAATATCTTCACAGAAAATGCCAGGTGTAATAGCATTTTATTCAGCTAAAGATATTCCAGGAAAGAATAGTTTCTGCCCTCCCATATATCCTCCACTAGTAATTGAAGATGAAGAGATTCTTTGTGATAAAGAAGTAAAATTCTATGGACAACCTGCTGGCATCATAGTCGCTCAAAGAGATAAAATAGCCAACAAAGCTGCTTTACTTGTAAAAATAAATTATGAAACTGTAAACAAAAACAAACCATTACTGACAATAGAAGATGTATTGGAATCGCCGGAAAAAGATAAAAGAGTTACAAATAACAGAACCGTTGAACCGACGGATACTGGAAATGACGTGAAATGTACAATTTATGGAAACTTGAAATTAGGAAGTCAAATACATTATACCATGGAGCCACAAACGTGTGTTGTAAAACCAACAGAAGATGGAATGGAAGTATACTCATCGACACAATGGCTTGATCAGGTCAATGTTGCAGTAGCTCAATGTTTAAAAGTCAATGTAAATAGGTAAAGATTGTTCTTGTGTGCTTTCAATTATGTAATTTTAATTTGTACATAAATAATTTTTGTTGCTTTAAGTTGCGCATATTTTATGTCACCTTAGTTAATAACAATATGTGTAATCTATGTATAATTATAAGTATTTGATGTATTACTAATGATTATTATTTGTGTCCGAAACTTCAACTATACATTAACAGTTTCTAATAGTATTAACTTCAAATATGATCTGTATTTATTTGTATATAACTTATATTTATTATTAAAGAAACAAGGTAATTAGATAAGTCACTCAAATCTTCATCGACTGTCTGCATTTCAAATATCTGTGTCTTTATTGCTATATTTTTAGTTACTTATAATTGCTTATTTTTACTTACTTTATATAATAGAAATGGTATGATTAAAGAATAATAAAATTTATTTAATTTTTTTATATGTATATTTTTATTTACATTAATTTTAGTGTAAACGTCATTGTACGTCGAGTTGGTGGAGGATATGGTGCCAAAATATCTCGTGCTAGTCAAATTGCATGCGCAGCAGCTTTAGTATCATATCTACGAGGAGAAACATGCAGATTTGTATTGCCCTTAGAATTAAATGTAAAGATAATTGGTAAACGTTTACCAACAAGCTGCAAATTCGAGGTACCTTATTTCAATATTTTTTAATTTTAAGAATCTACAAAAATTTAATTATTTAAGATTTATTTACATTTTGATATTTGAATATAATTAATTAATTATTGATATATATTAATTTTATACAAAATTTTATATGTATTATATAAAAATATGTAAAAAATATAATCTATCTATTACCATATATACACACCTTACATCTACGTGCTATAAATAAAAGAAGGCATTTCGAAAATCAAATTTTTAAATTTGATTTTCGCAAGTATTACACTTTAGTGTTTATACCTAAGTAATACTTGACACAAATAAAAAAAGTTTATTGTAAGAATGCCAATATAACAATTGTAATTTGTTAAAACATATTATTAAATTTTTTTTATTAATTAAATATCAAAATTTTACTCTAACCCTTGAAGTATAAATGCAAAAGTTTATAAGAATGGATGGATAGATGTTTGTTACTCTTTCACGCAAATACTACTAAACAAATATTTATGTAATTTGGTACACGGGTACCTAAAAAACAACTAATCAACTACGCTCACTAACACATATTACCTAATTCAGCACATAGCATATTTTATATGCCGTTCCACGCTGGAAAAGTCGCGGGTACAGCTAGTTTTCTACATATAGATTCTATTAATAAAGTTAACGAAACTTAAAATTTCAGCTTGGAGTAAATAAGGAAGGTGTGATTCAATATCTTAAAAACACATTTTACCAAGACAATGGTTGTTCTCGAAATGAAACCACTGCCAGTGTAACCTTAAACCATTTTATGAACTGCTATGACACTCGTCGATGGTACATTGATGCTAACAGCGTTATTACGGATACTCCTTCAAATACGTGGTGTAGGGCTCCAGGTATATAATTGTCATTTTATAAATCTATTACCTACTTATTCGTATAAAGAGACCAATTCAGTTTAGTTGAAGAAAAAAGAAAAAGCGTCTTACTTAAATAAGTAATATTTATATTTTATTCCATTTAATATTTTTGCAAAAGAATTTATTAAATATATTGTATATTTTTAACTTATATGAAATTAAATTTATATATTTACCATACAGCATCTACTGAAGGCATCGCAATGATAGAATATATAATGGAGAGAATAGCTTACAATTTAGGTAAAGACCCACTAGAAGTTAGAATGTTAAATATGGCAAAAGAGGATAATCCGATACCAGAATTAATTGAGGTGTTAAAAAAAGATGCAAATTATAATGAGAGGTTAGAAGAAATAAAAGAATTCAACGATAACAACAGATGGAGGAAACGTGCTATGAAAATAATTCCGATGACATACGATTTATTCTATCTCGGCCCTTTTAATTCGTTAATATCAATATATCAAGCTGATGGTTCAATTATGATAACTCATGGCGGTACAGAAATGGGTCAAGGTATCAATACAAAAGTAGCTCAAGTTTGTGCCTACATACTAGGTGCCCCTTTAGACAAAATCAGTGTGAAACCAAGTTCAACATTTACATCTCCAAATTGTACATCTACTGGAGCTAGTATCGGTAGTGAATGTGTAGCCTATGCGACGATGAAAGCCTGTGAAATAATATTACAAAGACTGGAGCCGATTAAACAGAAACTCGGAAAGTATACATGGGAAGAGCTTATAAGAGAAGCCCATATTTCACATGTGGATCTTCAAGCTTCTTATTTTTACACAACTGCTAGTGATGTAAAACCATACGATATATACGGTGTAATCGCATTGGAAGTAGAAGTCGATATATTAACTGGAAATCATGATGTTCGGAGGGTAGATTTGCTGGAAGATACGGGAAGGAGTTTAAGTCCTCAAATCGATGTTGGTCAGGTAAATTTTAGTATTTAAAGAAATATATAAAAAAAAACTTCCTTAACAGTTTTATGAATGTGTATCAATTCTTGGATATTTACATTCCTGAAAAATTATATCTTAATTGGTTTAGCAGTAACAAATACTTTCACATTACAATATTTAGAAAAATCACTAATTTAAAGAAACAAATTTAAATAATTTATCATATTTTATTAATATACAGATTGAAGGAGCATTTATTATGGGGCTTGGGTATTGGACATCTGAGAAGATTATCACCGACCCCAATACGGGAAGGATATTAACAGATCGCACATGGACTTACAAACCACCTGGAATTAAGGATATACCCGCTGATTTCAGAGTTTATTTTAGAAGAAACGCCAATAACGAATTTGGTGTATTACAATCAAAAGGTAGAAAAACATTGCCAGTTTCAATAGTTTTTGTATTCAATCAGAATCTATATTGTAAGCTTTTGGGCAGTCGACTATCAGCAAGTCATATTTTATATGCATATAAACTGCATAGAAATATCTGTGCTAAATTGAATACTTTTTTATGATTGTAGCGACCGGTGAACCATCCTTTTGTTTAGCGGTGGCCGTAGTTCACGCACTACGCGAGGCAGTGAGGGCAGCACGCTTGGAAGCTGGATATGCGGATCAATGGGTGGAAATAGGTAAGCATGAGCATTTTTAATAACTAAAATAAACTCATGCTGTAGAAAATATCACTGGAGGTATTCAGTCGTAAATTATAGTTGATCTATTAAAATAAATTACAAAATGTTCTAAAATGTGCGAATATTTGGACAGTTTATAAATATAATATTACGCAAGAGTTAATTTATTAAATGAGTTTAAAATTATTAATTTATAGACTTCCCGTTACATGATCTATTATGTATAAGAGAAGAGAATTAACGCGACGTATTAATGTATATTATGTTAATTTTATAAATAATATTGCAATTATTAATATAATAATTAATCCTAATATTATAAATGTGAAAGTTTGTAAAGATGTTTAGATATTTATGTTTGTTTATTAATCATACTCAACTAAACGAATTTTAATGAAATTTAGTACACGGATAAGTTATATCCTGATTTAACCATATCTACATATGCACTCGAACAAATAATATACAATTAATAAATTGAATATTTTTATATCAATTAAGGCTGGTCCTTCTTTTTAAATATTATAAATTAACCACCCGTTTTATTTTCAGATGTCCCGTGTACAGTGGAAAATATCTTTATGTCAGTAGGCCACGAGTTGAGTCATTTTACATTGAAATGAAATCAAATACATGAAAAGATTATGAACGAGTCCTAACTCGCGAAAAAGACTTTCAATACAGTGTATTCTTTAGGTTACTTACTTCTTTACTAATATATACTAAACATTGTGTGAAAAAAAAAAAACAAATTAAAGTATATTAAATACTAATTAGAAACAAAATTATTGTTATCCTAAAAAAAATAATTTAAGACGAGTCTTTCTTTCTAATATAACGAAACTGTAATAAGACGATGTCTATACATAGACAGTCTTTAGAATAAAATAATATGAGGGAAATATTAATGACACTAATAGATCCTAAAACAATATTATTTGGGAATTTTGGTTGTCTGCCTGTATGTTTGTTCCGGCATCACGCAAAATGTACTGCACCATATTGGATACCATACTAATTTAAAATCTTATGCATGTTTTATCTTGATACGCCGTCTAAAAGTAATCGATTTTTCTATGCATACAAGGAGCAGGCAAAAAGTTAATATTCAATAACTTTATAAATGCATCAGGTAACATGACGACAATGCTAATATTCATGCCGCCTTCGTTCATAAAAATTAAAAGTAGGTGCGTTTCACTTATATGTACTAACACCTTTTTATTACCAATAAGTGTGTGTGTTTTATTTTTTTAGTTACTAACTGAGATATGTTCTTTATAATTGTGATACACAGAGGCAAATAATGTCTATTAAATAGCAATATAATTAGATTTGAAGAAAGAAAGAAACATTTATATAATGCTTAGTTTCACACGTAATTACGGAAAATGTAATAATATAATATAAATATATAATGTAAGTGTATTATAAATGTAACTGCAAAACATGTATTTCACACAATGAACGAAACTGTTTTTATGTCTATTTTACCCCTATCAGTACTAAATAGTAATAAAACAAATAAATAAAATTATTTATATCTTGATTGTGTTAATCAAATTTATTGTTTAAACTTTTTTATAATAGTATATTGTCAATTTTATTACAAGTTTTAGGAGATGTAAAATTAATAGGTGACAACAAACAAAAATAATAGATATTTTTCACAAAAACAGAAATTATGCAAATATACACATAATGTTGTAAAATAACTTCTTAAATATAATAATACTAAAATTAAAGTTTTTTTTTATATGTTCAATATTTATAAAATGATACAAAACTTCTAATAATATTATAATTATATCCTCATGTATATTCTATCCAATATATCCTTAATAATACTATAAATATGAAAGTGAGTTTGTTTATTTGTTAACCTTACGCCAATTCCCTAACGCCTTAAGCCAATTCCCATGGCATAATATTTTCAATGAAAACAAAAAACAAAACAACGTCAAAACAAGGCGGGCTGTCTCGATCTAATTTCACATAAGTTGACCTAGGTAGATGATCATTCAAAATATAATGTATGCTTATGTATTACTTTTAACAATACAATTAACAATAAAACATCAAAACAATCCAAATGGATAAGTTAGAATAGAAAAGAAACCAATCATTTTTAGATTTTTTGTCTACCTACGTTCTGGAATCACGCAAAAACTATTATTCCAAATTAGATGTAATTTTCACAGTGGCATGATGGTCGAACTTAACATCCGGTGTACGTTTTACTACAAAAACCAAATGTACGAAGTAGCGGACGAACACTAGTCTAAAATATGAGTAGATAAATGACCTCTAAAGAAAACTTTAATAAAACAAACCCTTCAATTTACGTCGAATGAAGTAGTTTAAACGTTGAAATATTTAATATTAACAGCTTATTAGTAGGTGGCGTTAAAACTATACAATCATGATCCACTTTGCGATTGATTGAAATGTTTCAGAATGATCACGCTACAAATATAATATTCGGGGAGTATCTTTTAATTTGTAATCGTAACAACAATTGTATTTTTTTTTATACAACTTAGAATGGCAAACGAGCTGATAGCCCACCTGATGGAAAATGGTAACCGTCGCCTATAGACATGAGCAGTACCATGGACATAACAGAGTATACTGTTTCGCCCATTATACCCCCCATGCGTTGCCATTCCTGAAGACTCAGGTGTTATTCCTCTGTACCCTGTAAATTCACGCCATATCCCACCCTTCAAACCAAAACACAGACATGCAAACGCAACTGCTTTACGGTTGAAACACGAATGGGACAGAGGTACCCAAGCAAACGACTTTTGTACAAAGTCTCCCTCTAGTGAGTATATTTAATGGAGACTATTTCTTTTGTAAATCTATATACATATAACAGAATAGAAAAACATAATAAAATTGTAATTATACTATGATACTTGGGAGATATTTGCCGTGTGGTCCCGGCATAGAATAGTCCACCCCTTCCTTTCCCGTAGGTATCGTAAGAGGTGACTAAGGGAGGGCGAGGGATGCGCAGCAGCGTCCCTTTTAAAACATCTCTAGCCTAACTGCGGTTACCAATCCGCCTGCGAAGCATAGTAACTACTGGTAAAATCCCCCCAAGGGGAGGCTTCTGTTTAGCAATGATACATATACACAGCTATATACAGCTGATATATATACAGGATGTCTGGTAATGAATGGATAACCCTGAAACATGTTATAGTTCAATTTATGGCCATCCTAAAAAAATACGAAACAAAATATATCATAAGTAGTACCTTTGTTATCTTTATTTTAAAGAAAAGTCAAATTTTTCTATCTTATTTTACTGTCCTGATAACTATGACCAGAAATTAATGAATTCTATTGGTTTTTTGTTGTTTTATTATTATACACTAACTGTGCTGATAGATAGAAAGTGACTAGCTATTGCAGTTTTTTTTTAATACGCAAATTAATCTATTTTTGAAAAATATGCAAAAAAAAAAAACATTTTTAAGTAAAGTTCAAACTTATAGGGTATAAAAAAAGTTTATGAATACATGGGTGACCAATAATTTTAAAATAATTTCTGTTTCAAGTAGATTTTACAATGGTACTATTCATAACTGTATCTATCATAAATAGTGACTTATTGCCATTAATGTAGGAAAGGAGAAAATTTGACTAAATAATAAAATTTGTAATATGGGAACATTTTTTAAATTGAAATGTATCTCATCATTGGGCAATAATAAAAAACAACATTTAATATTCAAAATAACTTATTTTACATAAATTTACAATAAATGCTCAAATTGTTTTCTTCTCACTCTTATGCATGCCCTGCATCTTCGGATAAATGCTCTTCTGAGCAGTTTTGTATGCCGTCGCTCGTTTATTTTCGATGCGGCTGCTCTGACACGACTGCGTAATTTGTCCAAAGACTATATAGGCTTACCACTGGGCTGCTTCAAAGAGGAAGTGACCACTTCCTCTTTGAAGCAACCCCAGTAAAAAAATCCAATGGATTTAAATCCGGTGAACGTGGAGGCCACAGAATTGGCCCTAGGCGCCCTATCAATTGAATCAAATCAAAAAATCAAACAGAGAACTGTGTGTTCGAATCCCATGCAATTGCGCTATCAATAGATAATCTTTCCGAACTATCATTCAGAATAGAATTTCATTATATATATTTCTAAGATGTATATTTCTATTTAAAATATAAAACAAGATTGCGAATTATAGTACTGGTGCCGCCTATTAAAACGAAGGTTACGTCCTTAGATTATATAGATAAAGCATGGAGCCTAAAAAACAGGTCAAGTTTTTGTCAGCTAATTCTAAAATTAACTAACTTGTTTTTTTTTTTCAGTGTTTTATATACTTATCTACGCATAAAATGTATCTTGACGTATTATTTAAAAATTAAAATGGACGTTTACGCCTTAAAAAGATGCAGAAATTATAAGACAAAATAAATATATAAGTTATAAAGGAACCACTCATATATATACTTATACGAAAAAGTTGACCCGTTTTTTTCGAAGCATTTGTATGGAGATACTCTATCTATATAGTCTAAGGTTACGACATATAAAAATTCTATATTAATTCTTCCAATCAGCATGACGTAGGTACATATGGTACAAACTATTATCAGTTCACAGGGTAAAGGCGGGTTTGGTACAGTCGCATGGTACGTTCTAATAACGCGATAAGCTTTTATTCGACTTGAGAATGGAGTCACTTTTTTTAATTGACTTGAAAAAGAAAGAGTTTTACAAAATCGGTTGTATTTTTTTATGTTTATTACCTCGAAACTCTGCAGTTGTATACTTATTTTTAAATACTTTTTTTATCTATAAGGCTATACTTACAGATTGCTTACATAGAAATGTTATCAGAATAGGTTTAGTAGTTTATTTTTAAATCAAAATAACAGATTTTCCCCCAATTAAAGATAGATTTTTGGCGAATAAAAGGAAGTTTTATAAAAAAATTGTCTATTTAAATATTTGATGTTTTTTTATAATTACAATTTAAACATAATTATCTTCTAAAAATAATAAATATGAATAAAAATTATATACCATTGCTTTTGTTTTTTATTGTGATAAACCTCTATGCAGACATTATAATTTTATGCAACTTAATCGTATTTCAACAGTCTCTCCATTCACCCCTATTTTTCCAATCAATAAAGCAGTTCCTTTTAATAGCAGTAAAAAAATGTAAGTATGAAGGAAAAATATTTCCATAGTACTTCTATGTTAATTGAATCACGATAAAAGAAGGCATTTTTATTTTACAGGTCAATTCTGTTATATGTGTAGTTAATAATGAAAGAAAGTTAGGTAATACACAGTTTTCACATTAAAATATTTTTACTTAAATTTAAACAGTCCGTGGTCTGTTTAAATTGGAGTATTTATGGAGTTCTATTTTTTCCATGTAATTTCTATAGTAAAAATTATATTATAGATTAATACAAAATACTATTTGATAAAAACCTTTAGAGTTACGCTTGTGTATGTACTTACCCCGCCCATGGATTAAGGCAATGCAATAGCAGACAGCTATTCTAACAGTCGTCTCCGCTGACGAAACACTACCGTAGACAAGTATGTATCGCTCATCTTACTTATACTACCTAATCTATATGTAGGTATATTCATTAAAATAAATTTAAATTTATTATTATAAAAAAAATTTGGTTATGTTATAGATGTCAAAAAAAAGTTTAGTATCTTTTAGATTTAAAAAATATGTGTATGAAATGAATTAATTATTCACCAAAGTGATTAAAAATAGAAAATCTATATATGTGTGTGTGTGTTTGAATTATATAATAGTAAATAATATAATTGCATATATAAGAAAACGAAAGATGTAGAGAAAGTGAACACGGCTGTAAAGATAATAAAAAGTAAAAATACAATTAAATAAATGAAATCTGTACAATAAAATTTATATTTTTTTCATTTTTAAGAGTATTAAAGATAATTATAAAAAAAAATTTTATAATTATTTAAAATTTTAATAAAACTACTCGTAAAAGACGACATAGAAATGACCTCTATAATAAAAATACACCTTTTTTTTATTAAAATAAAATCTCATCACATTAAATACCGTAAAGAAGAGATGACAATTTAGTTATTTAGATCATAAATTAAATTATATATATAATTTATTTTTAAGCAGCATGTACTTATAACGGGATTCAATAACTAAAAAGCAGTATAAATGACTACGGTTTTGAAAATAAAACCAAAATTATTAATTTCGGAAAATACAGTAAAATCATAAAAATAAATAATAATAAATCGTGATTTAAAATAAATTCAATTTGAAATATAGCATTCTTTTAACGAGAAAACATCAAAATAATTTGACAGGAGAGAAAACCGTCAAGTAAAATATTTTGTAGGGAGCAATTGAAACGTTCCTTCAAGTATAGCTGTGAAATGTGGCCGGAAGAGAAAATTTCCTTATGAAAAAAGAAAATCTGTTTTTACAATTTTGCATATTACGATATTTTCACAGTACGTTACGGTGCCGATATAAAAGGAAACGCTAATGGCCAATTAAAATTGTTTACCGCGAAAATCTCTATATAACTTCAATGCTAAAAGAAACATGAGTTCGACGTTAAAATACATACATACGAGTACTTACATATATACATCGCATCTGTTATCCGTTGGAGTAGACAGAAACAATGGAATACCAAAGACTCCGATCCCAATAGACTGCAATTGCTGTTTTCAAATTCGTTCATCTATTTTTACGAGTTTTCTGGACATAAATATTTTTTTCTCAAACATGCTTGGCAATGTGAGCATTATTTTGACAATCTTCTTCGAAATAAATCAAAATTGCCGTACTGGCCAGATACATGCGGACAGCGGCCGCCAAAAGTTGTATGAAGATCCATATCTGTCGTGTTTTGCGACCAGATAAATTACTATGTAAACTCATATCTGTCCTGTAATTTAAAAATGGAATGACCTTTTACTTCTAAAATGGCTACCAAGGAGGTAACTAAAAAAAGGTGTTATTTAAATTTTGAACTGGTTTGCAAATAGAAAGCTGTTTATTGAAAAAAAAAACACAAAAAAACATTATGGCGCGTGAAAAATTATTATTGTTCGTTATTCGTCATTAAACTTAAAAAGTAAAATTGTGTTTTTGATTTCCGCGCATTGTTTGAGAAAAGTACTATACAAGCCTTAGCCACAACTAGGCATTGATGGACAAACGTACGAATGTGGGCCGAGGCGTAGCCGAGGCACACAATGCCTCAGTTGCTGGCCGCTGCAGTAATGTACTATAATTCAGCTGTTTTTCAGTATGTAATCTATTGAGGCAACATACTTGTATCTAGAGCAGCCTCTATCGTCATCACTACTTATTGGTAGTGTGTATAAAATCTCTTATTATTTCAGCTGTTAACTTAGCTGAGTTTTGCCAGTAGTTGCCACGCTAGGCAAGCGGGTTGGCAAACGCAGTTAGGCTTTTAGAGATGTTTTAAGAGGCACGCTGCTGCCCATCTCTCGACTTGCCTTAGTCGCCTCTTACGACACCCACGGGAAAGGAAGGCGTGGCCTATTCTATGTCGAGACCACGGCACGGGATAAAATCCCTTACGTATTCTTTTTTCATTCATCCTCTTTAAATGACCGTATATTGTTTCACAGTACATCTTTCTCTCTAATCTCACTACTTGATTTGATACTAGAATTACAATCAGAATTATACAATAAAATCACAATCGGAAATAAACAAGAATGCCAGTTCACTGGTCGTTTTTTTTTATTATTTTTTTTGTATGTGTGACTGCGTTTAAACATTTAATTTAAATCCAAAACACGTTTCGTAGTGAACATTTATGTAAAAGGTAATGTGAAAATTTGTTGCCATTTGGGTGTAATTACCTATTAATTTTACCATAGCAGCTTTTCTTCTGAAAATATAAGGAATATTAATTCTATAATATACTATTACCATTTGGTGTTCCCCACGGCAGTGTGAACTTTGTAAGCATGTATTCGTCTGTAATTAACCGAAATTTCACGTCGTATTCATTTCTTAGGGTTCCATAAGAAATAATTCATAGGAACCCTTATTGCAGCGACATCGTCCTTCCATCTGTTTATCGTAACGCTCTTTTCTGGCAGCTACTAATGAAAAATATATGAAATTTTAAATATTTTTAAAAATTGTTCATCCACATATATAAAGGAATCGTAAATATTTTTTTGTTTTCTTTACTAAGGAAAAAGAGGTGTACAAGAGATAACATCTAAATGTGATTCTTTTGCACATTCTTTGAAGATTTTCATTTATATTTATGTCAAGTGTATAATATTAATGATTATGTATTTATTTTATATATGTATATAAGAAATACAATAAAAGTATTTGTATTTAAGTTTAATTTATGTAATAACGACAAAAAAAATTCATTTAAAGAAAATAAAAACTTACCTACGTATACTGTGTCATATATTTTATTTATATATGATTTTAAATGTCAAACATAGTTTGGATAACTTGAAAAAAATATTGAGTGAATGATATTCTAAAAGTTTATAGGCCACTAAAAAAATAACGATTCGATACATTCGCATTTTATCAAGAAATAATTAAGTTTTAAAAATAAAAGTCTCAATAGTCAGTAATAAAGTTATTATTATTGTCCGTGGCAGCACTAACTATGGAACATTTCCATCAAAGAAAGTTCGATTAATGGTACTTAGTAATAAACTTAAAGCTCGGTCATGGCTACCTACCAACCCTTTGCACTTACGTACACACGTGTTACAATCGTGTGAACTGTCATATTCACATGAAGTCCTCAAACATTCATTAGTAGTTTTTCACAATTCGAGACCATGTACTTGAACCATTGAAATATAATAACAATCCTTACTAATTGTGACGATCTCTGGATAGATAGATGTTTGTTACTCTTTCAAGCAAAAACTATTGAAAGAAACTCTGTACATGAATTGGTTATATTCTGACTTAGAACATAGGATACTTTATACACTGATTCACGTAGATTAAGCCACGGGATACAGCTAGTATTTTAGATGTGAAAATACATTTATTTGTTTCTTATTAGTATCGTATAAAGGACATACAAAAAAAGCCTTGCATAAATGGAATACCACAATAGTCCTATTACATTTAATTAAAAATATTTCATTTATACCAACTCGAAATGTGAATGATTAAGATGACATTTAAGATCATCATCATTGTTTACACTTTTAATAAAATAAAATGTGAAAGTTATAAAAAAATTGTTATTAAACGGATTTCAGTGAAAAATACACAAATAGATAATAACCTAGATATATTATATTAGGCGACTTTATGTATTAATTCATGGAAGCAAAGTTATGAGACACGGGTAATTGGTAATAAATTAATTATTATTGTAATAGCATGAAGTATTAAATATTATCATCAAAGAACTTTATTTATCATATTTAATAATGAATTTGGACTTGAGCTTACCTATTACAATTGTGTGAACTTACACAATCACCGTACCAAGTACCAGAGGGAGACTTTGAAGTCGATTGCTTGGGTACCTCTGTTCCATTCGTATTTCAACCGTAAAGCAGTTGTGTTTACATGGTTGTGTTTCGGTGGGATATGGCGTGAATTTACAGGGTACGGAGGAATAACACCTGAGTCCTCAGGAATGGCAACGCATGGGGGTTATCATGGGCGAAACAGTATACTCTGTTATGTCTATGATACTGCTCATGTCTATAGGCGACGGTTACCACTTTCCATCAGGTGGGCCGTCAGCTTGTTTGCCATTCTAAGTTGTATAAAAAAAATCACTTGAAGACTTCCCCTAATAAAAAAAAAATACTAAATCGTGAAAAGTTACGACAATTCGTGTTTTCGGATTCATATTTTTATCTCTATTAGTGTGTGTTTTTACAATTTTTGATCACGTGTTACTAAATATTAGTATTGAAGTTGAAAAATAATAATAATTCATTATCACTATCCACTGCTGAACAAAAGCCTTCATGATAAGGGGGGGGGGGGAGGGTTGCCAGTAGTTTCCACGCTTGGTAAGCACTTGGGACCAACCATTCCAACCGCAGTTAGGATTAGTGATGTTTTAACAGGGACGCTGCTTTCCATCCTTCAATCTTTAAGTCCCCTTAGTCGCCTCTTACGCCACCCACAGGAAAAGAAGTGGTAACCCATTCTATGCTGGAACTACACGGCGAGTTCAACTTCTTATTGTGATTCCATTTATATAGTATTAATTTATATTTAATATATGACTTAGGCATTTTAAAAATTAAATGTTACGCTTCTCCTTCTATTGTTTTAAATACAAAGCCCTATTTATTACAAATCTAATGAAAATTTGTAAATATGTTTGGACGTTTATTAGTCAAATATGATGCAAAGAATTTTAATGAAATTGTATAAGAAGGCTTATTAGACGTAGATTCTTATTCGTAGATATGTTATTCGTAGCAGAAAATTCACAGAATACGGCTTGCTCATAATAAAGCGATCATTATTGTTCATAACAGCAGTAAGTATGGAATATTTCCATCAAAGAAATTACTCAATTAGTCATACTTTATCGTGAACTTAAGCTCGGTCATGGTTAACTGGCAACCCTGTGCATTTACGTGTTGCAAATTCCGTGTGAACACCCTCACCTGAACATATCGATTCTTGTGCATAGATTTTGAATTAATAAATAAATACACAATCACGGTAATTAAAAGACCAGGCAATAATTGTGTATTGCCTTCATATATTGCAATGACAAATAATGGGAAAGTTGACCTTTACGTTTAGTTAGTAGACAATTATTGCATATTTTATTATATAATTCTCTGTAATCAATGTCTAGTACACAATTTATTGTTTTATTACTTAAAGGGTTACATCTGTAACTTTTTATCGTATAATCGATTTAATATATTTGTCATACGCTTTATGCATTCTGAAGGGAAACCAGAGTGTTGTTACTTGCTTTATTTACGTAAAATTGAATTAAAAAACTAAAGTACTTAAAAATTCAATCGTAACTGAAGGATAAATAAATATTGAAGCATTATACTTTTCAATACTATTAGGTGCATCTAGTGAATATTTTTGTTAAAATGAGATTCCTTTTCCATTACTATACACTATACATATATCAGCAACTGGCAACTGCTGAACATACATGAGTCACTCCTTAAAGGAGAAATTAATGCCCATTTCCATTCATTGTGTGTAAATATGGAGAATGAATCGTTCCCAGTGATAAGTGTATATTAAATATGAATTACATTTCATATCTATTAGAGATTACTATTGAATTTAGAAATAATTTGATTATTCTACTATTATTATAAATATGTGTAAAGATATTTACAAATCGACTTCTAAAAGAAAGAGGTACTGTATCATTTGAACCAATTTGACTATATTTTTCTATATGTTTATTGCTTCATAACTCCGTTGTAAACCGATTTGAAAATTATTTTTTTACTGAAAGTATATACTTACACATTAATCTCTTAGAAATTTTATCAAAATTAGTTCAGTGGTTCAGTTTTTAAATTAAAATAACTGGTTTCGCCGCAATTAGAGTTGGATTTTTTTTTAGAGCACAACCTTACATATTATGTTTGAATGTTACTAAACCATGCTTGAAGGACTGAATGGATTTGAAAAAAAACTGTATACCTATATATATATAGGTTAAATCCTAACTTAACTAAGCTATTCTTTATACCTACTAATCTACTAGGGTAAAATCATAGGAAACAGCTAGTGCTCGTAAAAAAGTACATATTTCCAATATTTTCCTACAGCTGCTGAAAAATGAAGATACCAGGTCACATCAAACTGTTAGCAGCCTCTATAGGTGTTACTGCGTTTAGCATATTATTTGGATGGTATCTTTTCCCTGTAATACTGAGGAGTCAATTAAGGAAGGTAGGTGAATTTGTAATCTATACGGTTTCACATTTTTCACGTTATCACGCATCAATTCTTACACATCGTCTTGCGCAATAATATTTTTCATATTGATTATATATATATATATATATATATATATACTTAGTTAACCTTAAGTCTGCATACCTGGGGGTTTTTCGATTTATTATACTTATATTGTACAGATTTTATTATATAAGGTTATACAACTTTTTACGGTGACAACCTAGCGTCGATTCCGCAGTTTTGCCATATGTATAGATATCGTTTACATAAAAATTGAAATAAATTTTTAGATTTCCAATCTTTTTATCTAAAAAGGCACTTTTCCTTTACGTTTTTAAATAATTTAAAAATCAGCTTGTCAAAGGCGAACAGCGTGTAAAATATTAAGATGTTTAATGAACCTCTATACCGTGAGACTTTTCATATGTGTTTGACGTAAAAAGGGGGTTTATTTATATTCATTTGTTCTTTTTTACAACGTGTCATAAATGTTCAAAGAAAAGTACGTATATAATTATAGACATTTTCTATAGATTAAAAGAATATTTTGTATCCAATGTACAACTAGAGCGTCAATTGTTAAAAACGTCACAATAAATACCTAGGAAATTGTAACTGAATTCTTTTTTCGTATTGAGTGTTCAAATGTTCGATGTTCATTTTGTCTAAAAGAATGAATTAATATTATAAATTATCATATAAGACACAAATAGACAAAATAACGATTTGTAACCAACTACTTGTTAGTGCAATCTCATACCTTCAGAAAAGTGAGTAATATTTCAAAATGCATTTTTGGAGTAGTATTTCTTAGAAAACACTCTATTAGATTTTAACCCTAAAAGCCTAATTTACTCCTGAGAGGCGTACACGCATTCAAATATTCGCTCTCTCTTTTTAATAGGTTAAGTTAACGAACTAGATAGTAATAATGAAATTGTAACAAAACTTTTTTTTTGCTATAGGAAATGGCATTATCAAAGAAAACGGATGTGCGGAAAATGTGGGAAAAAATACCGTTCGCGCTTGACTTCAAAGTATATTTATTTAATTACACCAATGCCGAGGAAGTTCAAAAAGGTGCTATCCCTATCGTCAAGGAAGTGGGACCATATTATTTTGAGTAAGTTTAAGTTATTTAACTATATTGATAAAAAATGCGTGCGCACGCGCGGTCGCCCATATACTTTTGTTTGTGCGCATACCTGTGCATGTATGCGCAAAGGAAGAAGAAAGAGCTTATAGTTAACGGATGTATATATAAGATATATATTATATCCGTTCATAGATAAGGCAATTAACAATAAGGCCGCCCTTAGGTATCACTTCACATTTATTTACTATATTAAAATTTTTGTAATTGGTGCAATAAAGTATAAAATAAATAAATAAATAGTTTATGACGTAGTCAAGGTGGTTAGTTAGATATAATACCTACTATATACAATTGTTACTTAATTCCTCAATTTTTTATTATAATAATACACTTAAATAATATATCCATTATAAAATCATTACGAAATATACATATATAGACATTCTATATCTGGAAAATCATATAATTTTTCAATAATGGCCGAAGGCCGAACATCATTTACTGAGTTGCCTTGACAGAAAACCTATATTTTTCCAAGACATCATATTTTGCAAAACAACTACCTATCTATTCATTGTTTTATCATGTAAATAATGTATCATTACTGCTACCTAATACCTATCAGTCTCTATATAATGAACTATAATAAATACTGCATAATAAAAAATATAGGTAGTTTTACGTGGGCGTTCCCTTACTGTCAGAACCATAGAATAATTAATATAAATAATAGAACCTTATTATGTTCTGTGATGTTTAAAATATCATAGCCTAGTATATAAATATACTTGGAAGTGCCCGTAGCAATTTGACCCATCTATTAAATGTTGTAACGTGTAATAGGTTAATTAATCTCGCTCCAAAATTCTTGCAGCTATAAAACTTTTTAATGAAACATGGTTTAAATAAAAGATTAGCGAAATTTTTAAATAAACAATATGGAAATGAAATTACAGGGAACAGAGGTATGACACCTTAGTTCTCAGGAATAGCAACACATGAAGGGTTTCATAGGCGATACAGTTTTTTATATATAGTTAGGCAACGGTTACCACTTTCCATCAGGTGGGCCGTTAGCTAGTTTGCCATTCTATGTTGCAAAGAAAAATAACCTAATTTTAATAAAATATAAAAATTTTATACGATAGTTTTGGTTAACCTATCTTGCTCTTTGATAAGATTTACACCTAAAGGGATTTGTTTTTATACGAGTATATTGTAACCTTAGATTATATAGATAGTGTCTCCATACAAATGCTTCGAGAAAAGCGGGTCAACTTTTTCATACAATTTTGCGTGTAAATAGTTATAAGTGATTCCTTTATAACTTCTATATTTATTGTGTCTTGTAAATTCTGCACCTTTTTAATACGAAAAAACTTATTTTATTTATTAAATTTGACTTAGCTGACAAAAAGTTGGCCCATTTTTGAGGCTCGATGCTTTATTTATATTTAAGGTACATACGATTACCTTTTTATATAAAATTCAATTATAAAGCAAAGTAAAGAGAATGAATGTTTGCACACCCGCTGTGTAATCTAATGTACTAATGATATGAAAATACAGAGTGAGCACACATTTTTTTTAAATAAGTTACGTTCCACATGACGATCCCACGCTAACCTAGGTTGTGTTTTTTGTTTTTTATATAAAACCTACTTAATCGAGTAATATTCATTTAATGATAAGTAAAGTTGTATTTTGTAACAGAAAAGGTTAAATAATCGAAAATTCTGCTTTTAACCCTAATAATAGTAATAATAGTTGTAAATGAAATGGCATCCCATACGTTGATCTTACTATAATAACTAATGTAAAAATAAGTTTGTCTATTTATGTTACCTCTTGTCCGCTTATTATAAAATTTAGTATACACGTAGTAGTTGTGTCGGAGAAGGATGTAAACTATTTTTCATTTCGGTCAGTAATTTTAGGAAAAAAACTAATATCTACCGAATAACGAAAGATCAAATCCCAACTCCAATCCAGTTGTGAGTCCGAACACTATAGGCAGATACAGACATGATACTTGTAAACAAAATTTATCTTTTTGTAAGCCATGTATATTATATTTTATACATGTTTTTGTCTCTGTGTTATAAAGAGAATGGAAAGAGAAAGTTGAAATCGAAGATCACGAAGAAGATGACACAATTACTTACAAGAAGTTGGACACGTTTTACTTCAGACCTGATCTTTCTGGACGGGATTTGACTGGCGAAGAAGTTATAACCATGCCTCATCCTTACATACTGGCAAGTTTCATCATTTCTTTCATCCCGCTCGACATAACACTAATAGAAAGAGGTGGAATACAAATAAACAATGTAGTCATTTCTGAAGCGCCATTTCTGTAAATATGTGATATTAGGTATATTTCGATAGTTTTGGGAATTTACAGTAAATTCGTAAAATAAATTTATAAAAATTTGGACTAAAATCTATTAGAATTTTAGTTCGTATTGGACTTTAGAATAAAGATTTTGCTGTTATATCAAATTTAAATTTCAAAAATAGATTTAGAGAAATGGTACCTTAGATTGGGCTTCATTGTCGCCCATAAAAGACGTCGTACAAAACATCAGGTATTTTTAAATATACATATGATTGTGATCAGATAGTCAGTTCATTTATCGTCCATTTCAGAGGTTTTTCCTATAGACGTATAGAGAAGGAAGGAAGGGTTCTGACACTTTAGAACTGTTCCTTTCTTTTTATCATGAATTAAGAGTGTTCATAACAAAATGTAAACAATACCTGATATGATGATGATGATAATATATAACGAAGAGTGACAACATTGCAATTGTCTGTGAATTTAAAAAAAAAACAATTAAGCACCTTTCAATGTTTCTAATTGATTATTTAAAAAGTACTCTACTAGCGAAGTAAAACGTTAATCATGAAATAATATTGTTATTGAGCTGTCACTGAAAATTTTATCCTAATTGCTATCAAAGCTACAGAATACTTACTAGTTCTTACTAATATTATAAATATGGAAGTGAGTTTGTTTGTTTGTTTGTTGTTCTTGGCGCCTTAATGGCTTAACCAATTATCATAAAATTTTAAATACACGTACAATACGAGATGGACAGGGACGTACTTACTAATTATCCCGTTTATTTTTAAGCAATTTAGAATGGCAAACAAGCTGACGGCTCACCTGATGGAAAGTAGAAACCGTTGCCTATGGGCATAAACAGTATCATGGACATAACAGAGTTATGTTTCGCCCATGATGTGTTGTCATTCCTGAGGATTAAAATGTTATGTTCTGTGTAGATACTGTTCCCTGTAAATTCACCGGTACACCAATTCCAAATTCCAAAACTAGATTAATAATAATACAATACATCTTTTTTTGTAGAGTATGTTAACATTTGTAGCACGAGATAAGCCATCTATGCTTAATATGGTTGTCAAAGCCGTCAACGGTATCTTTGATGAACCCCCTGACGTATTTCTGAAGATAAAAGTCCTAGATCTCTTGTTTAGAGGTTTGACTATCAATTGTGCTAGAACAGAGTTTGCACCAAAAGCAGTGTGCACTGCTTTGAAAAAAGAAGGCGCAGATATTTTAATATTTGAACCCAACAATCAGTACAAGTTTTCGTTTTTTGGAAAGGTAAATCATGTTTAATCTTTGTGTTTTAATATCTATATTTGAAACAAACTTATTACATAATTAATCAGTAAATCATACATCATCATAATCATTACAATCAGCATTTGTTACTCCAGTATTGAACGTTATATATTGTATAAGTAGGTACCACAACGCTGTCAATTTTCTATTTTTAGTTTATAAAATTTTTTTTTACGATCTTCTTTGGATATAATTGGATGAATTGTCGTAACTTTTAGTTTCTTTGATTTTCGGTCGTTTATCTGTCTAATTCAAGTTTCATAAATTAATAACTTTACTGTTTGTTTATCGTATCTTTAAGTTGCACAATCTAGATGCACTTCAGCCATACAGAGAAATCGACTAAGCGAAAATAAGTATATAACATACAGAATACTGCAAATACTTCCAAAATTGGCTCAACGTCAAAACCGAATGAGAAATTCTATTACAAAAAATGAATTGTATATTACACTATGAGAAGTTTATATTATCAAAATAGAGTTGATTAATAACGCGTTTTTTATATCACTTAATCTTTATTATTTACCGTATTTTTTATTTTTATAAAAAATACGGTAAATAGTGAAGTCAAATATTAAATAAATAATATATATATTACAGCAATTATCTGTCCACTATCCGTTCAACAGTAGGCCGCCGACCCCAATTGATTGGGATAAGGGTAGAAAGATGATGATATATATATATTCATATATGTATAACTCTATTTCCTTTCTCAGCGCAATGCAACCGCTGATCCTCATGTAGTTACAGTACAAAGGGGAATACGAAATGTGATGGATGTCGGTCAAGTCATAGCTATCGATGGAAAACCTCAAATGAACAAATGGAGGGACTCCTGTAATGAATACCAAGGCACTGATGGTACCATATTTCCGCCATTCTTAACAGAGAATGATCGTCTGATGTCTTTTTCCGGAGATTTATGCAGGTACGTATTTTCCAAAATAAAATCCAACTCATATTACTCGCTGACATTGTAGCTTTTTATAAAGGAAATAATTTTTAAAATCGATTAAGTATTTTTTGGATTTGTTCGTTACAAACGAAATAATCAAATTTTTTCTCTTTATAACATTATTTTAATTTCTCTGATTCTCTTTTGTTGTTCGACGATGTACTTAGACCTGTCTAATACAGATTCTTTGTATTTTATATTGTACTTATTAAGCAATTGTATTACTTTAGAAATAAATTAAATGCATTAGAAACAGAAGCACAACGTTTAGTCTTTAATTGTTCATTGTAAATATAAAATGTTTTAGTTCGTTTACACATACGTACCTCTGTACTCAGAGTAAATAAAAAAAAAGGAAAGGGATTCTAATAATTTCAATTTCAGCGTATGTATATAAATATCCATAAACAGTATATGTACTAAAAAGGGATGGATGGGAGACGACTTCACATAACTGAGATGCGAATGTTAAGATGGATGTGTGGTGTAACAAGAATGAAATGAATAAGATCAAGAATAAATATTATATAGTAGTTAGAGGAAGTTTGAAAGTAGCTCCATAAATGGAGACGATAAAAAGTAGTCGTTTGTCATGGTATGGGCATGTGATGCGTAGGGAAGCTGAGAATGTGGTGAGACAGATACCCGTATTAAGTATGAATATACATAGATAGTGTATATATAATTATTATATTATATTATAATTATGAATAAGTGTAGAGAAAGATTCAAATATAGATGGATGGACTGTGTGAAAGATGGCATAGCAAGAAAAGGAGTGACTAGTAAGCCAAGTGGAAATAGAGATGAATGGAAAAAATTACAAATACCCCAAATACGAGTACATATGAGAAAAAGACAAGAAAAAGAGGAAGTATGTGTACTAAAATGTGCTTATTCATAGGTCATTCAAGCCCTGGTATGTAAAGAAGACATCATATAAGTCAATACCGACAAATCACTACACTGCTAACATTGGAGACTTGGCTAATGACCCCGAACTAAACTGCTTCTGTAAAGCACCAGATAACTGCCCACCAAAAGGTCTTATGGACATGACCAAATGTATTGGCGCGCCGATGTATGCTTCAATGCCCCATTTCCTTGACAGTGATCCTGAATTATTAAAAAACGTGGTCGGTCTTCATCCTAATGCCGAAGCCCATTCTATTGCAATTGATTTTGAATCGGTTAGTGCAATCATTTTATTGTTTTTAATTTTTATATAGTGATAAAAATATAAGTATTGGACTGTGGACATATCACATAGCAAGAGAGAGTTTGCTAATAACAGGAATTAGAGCTGCGTTGCTAGCAATATACTCTGTCATATCGTCCTCTAGGTAGCTCCTCTTAGAAACCGTGGTAATTAATTGTTTATTTCGTCACGATGGACCAACTATTCAATAAATATTACACAGATAATCTGATCCAAAACTAAGGAAAATGTATTTATTTTTATTTATTTATCTGAATATATGAACTTTTGTAAATCTAAAATAAAATAAATACATAAAACACCCAGATCGATAAAAACTGACATTCTCATAAATAAGCTCTAAATTTAGGTGGTGTTAATATTATATTTGCTAATATTTATAAACATATAACAGTTATATATATGTGTATATGTACTCTATCCTACATATACCTATATACAGGTATAGGAAGTCAGTAGATGCAAATGACTGAGGACCGTTTCTTATGGCAGTCTATGGGGAAGGCCTATGTTCAGCAGTGGACAGAAAATGACTGGCATGATGATGATGATGATATGTATAAATAAATAAATACAAAGATTCAAACCTCTTTTATTTATTGCCTTATCTACCAATTTTGTAACTCCTAACAGAGAAATGACACAAATAGTATTTATTCGTTATTTATATCGCCTATCTATCATATTGTCGTGATCCTATAATTTTTTTTTTTTTGTAAATAACAAGATAATTCTTTTGCTATTTTTCAGATAAGTGGAACACCCATGGTCGCTAAACAAAGGGTTCAATTCAATATACAGTTATTGAAACATGACAAAATACCCCTGTGTAAAGACCTACCGGATACATTTGCTCCACTCTTTTGGATTGAAGAGGTAGGATTTTGAATTAATTTCAATGTTTTAAGATATTTTTTGTAAAGATAAAACAATTACCATATTCATTTATTTTGTTTCACAAAAAATTTACACCAATTTATTTAAGTTATATTTGTTTAAATTTAAAATGCAAAGAGAAAAAATAACAAGTAATTAGCACAAATTGGTTCCCAATTATGTTGTAACCTTTTTGAATTAAATATAAATGCTTATCAAAATTATATAAAATATATTATTATATAATATATAAAAAAATTATTGATAATATCAATATTTTTAAATATGCAACAGGTTCTTCAGAAAAAGGTCTTTTTTACACGACTGCCCAAAAAAGAATGTGAACTAGATAACATAAAGAAGAACTATATTCGATTTCTTTTGCACTCTCTCCTAATTTTTACGTTTACGTGAAAAGTATAACAGATAAACATACATTTTACTATTTAAATAAATTTCACACTTTGCACATGACAGTTTGACTTTTTACGAATTAGTACAATTTAATACAAGTATTCGTATTACCATATAAGAGAAAACAAAAGAAGAACTATATTCTATTTCTTTTTCACATTTCACGTTTTGTTGTCTTTGCCAACTATAGAAAACAGGCGTAACTTATGTATATATATGTATTCACACATATATGGTAATATATGTGGGAATATATTGATGTATCCATTACCACGATTAGAATAATGCGAAGTTCCTGGCGGCTAATTACTTAATTATTCTTTACAGGGTCTTGCGCTAAATAAAACATTTGTCAAAATGTTGAGACACCAGCTGTTCTTGCCCATGCGTTTGGTGAACGTTTTACGATGGGTACTGTTGGTATTTGCTTCTATGAGTATACTAGGCTGCATTCTATTCCACTTCAGAGGTAAGTTCGTTGGCATTATTTTGTTACTGTTTCCCGTTAGAAATTAATTATTATAATATAATAATTAATAAAATAAATAGTTAGAAAATAACCTATTCATGTACCAAATTTTACTCCAAACTGTTTAGCCGTTTCTAAATCAGTAACAAACATCCAAATATCTTTACAAACTTTCACATTTATAACATTTGTAGTATTTTTCGGAGTTATTTTCAAGGTCGTCCATATTCGAGCTAATTACTTTTAATGTCTGACTAGGCCTCATAACTCTCTGTTAGATATTGTAGGTGTAGATTTTTTAAACTAACATTTATATTTTATATATTTATACGGCTAAAAAAATTTAATGATCATAAATTTTTTTGTCATTTCTGACAAGTTTCCGATTTGATTCAGAAGTCTTATGCAATGTGCACAAACTTAATGAAATAAATTAAATCAATATTAATCTTTTTTTTTATTTTTTATTTTTAAAACGATTGCCCCCTTATAAAAATCTATTACAGAACGAATATTGAAGTTCGCTGTTACTACTAAGACGACAAACACCACGAAAATTAATCCCGAAGACGCACTAAAAAGCAACAACGTCGTTGAACAAACACACCACCAGGAGGCCGCCAAAGTTGATATGTAATCCACATTCCGACGGCTCATTACCTTTTATCTGATATGGAGCCGTCAATTTAAGATGTACACTACTTTTAGATTATGGACGCGTGCTTTTTTAAGACGTTTGAGACGAAGGAAGTCACGATGAACAGCTATTTACTGATGTGCAGTAGTACGATTCTTTTAAAAAAAAATTATTCATATTACATAAGTACATTTTGCACACACACACACACACACACACCGATAAAATACAAGACATTTCATAAATTTCATACTCACATAACGAACTCCGTTTTAGTCGAGAATATTCGACTAATTTACGAATCTTTTACAGTATAATGTAATTCATATTTTAGCAGCGTTTTCAGACTGGGTGTTCTTTTCGCAATTTTGGTTAAAAAAAATTGTTGTCCTACGAAATTTTTAAGAAATAAAACAGTTGGAGAAATTTTTGGAGAAAAATGAAACAGACGTGGAGAAATATGGATAATTGTTTTGACAGTTTTAGTACTTAAATTCTGTAGAATATGCCACTGAAGCAAGCAACGTAGCAGCGGCGTAGAAGAGAGTGAATTTTTTTATCGCTCGCGTAGTGGTATTATGACCAAATCTAGTGAAAACTAAGTTTGTGATTGGATAAATATAAACTAAATTAAACCAATTAGCAGCAATAATAACAATGGAGAAAAATTGCATCTACAATTTTTTTTTTATAAGTAGATTAGACTATACTTTAATAGTTACCTACATGCCGTAACTAAATAAATTTAGCTTTCTTTCTAATCTAGCTTTGCTTTTTCACTATCAGCTTTAGAAAATCAGGATCGACAAAATATTATTTTATAAGAATTTTAAGAGTGTAAAACAGTACAATAATTTATAAAAGTTTAATAAAAAAAAAGTCTATTTTTGTAAGTACAAATTTAGAAATAGTTAATCAACTATTTAAATAATGTTGTACCTAGTGTTGGAAGCATTCAGATAAATATTTTAGTATTTAATTTATAAATTATTTAATAAGTGTATGGATCTCAACTCAATATAATTAATGAACTAATAATTATGTACCTAGTTAGTACTTACACTAGTTATGTTTTACCTAATATAATACTTGTCTGTAATATATTCACTCTATATACCTCTACAGTGCACTTTATTTACGCTATAAAGCAAAACTAATATAACTGAAAGAACACATAATATTATGTACCTACTTTATAATTCACTTCGTTTCATTGAATATTATGTATATATATTTAACCAGAGGGAGACTTTGTACAAATTGCTTGGGTACCTCTGTCCCATTCGTGTTTCTACCGTGAAGCAGTTATGTTTGGATGGCTGTGTTTCCGTTTGAAGGGTAGGATATGGCGTGAATTTACAGGGTACAAAAGAATAACACCTGAATCCTCAGGAATGGCAACGCATGGGGGGTATCATGGGCGAAACAGTATACTCTGTTATGTCCATGGTACTGCTCATGTCTATAGGCGACGGTTACCACTTTCCATCAGGTGGGCCGTAAGCTTGTTTGCCATTCTAAGTCGTATAAAAAAAAAATATCAAATATAGAATACTTCTTTCTTATAAGCAATCAACTGCTATATTTGTTGATACAAGTAAAGTTTCTTGTTGTTGTTGTTGTTAACAGTGAATTATATCAAAATTATATTCTGTAGTATATCTATACAAATAAAAAAGTTTAATAGCTATGTTTTATGGCATGGCTATTACAGAACATTAGCAGTGTTTAAATTAAACTGGTATGTATCTATATTTCTTATTTATTTATTTTTTCTACTGACCTTTAGCCACAACAGAATATCAGTGCTTTGCTCTTTTGAGGGCAAAGCAATAAGCTAAGTTGTGACCATTTTGTGCTACTGTTTTTATTAGATAAGGATATATATCATAATAGCATAAATATAATATAATCAATATAAAAATCAATATAATAGCAAACAAAAACAGACTATATAACATTTATAACCTACTTAAAAGGACAGGTAAATAAAATGAGCAATATTTAAAAAATATTGTATATTCAGATTATTATTTATTAATAATACTTATAAACACATAAATTATGATTAATTTTATTGCTAATTTATACAAAAATCATAATTCGGGCTTTTAAGTTAGTATATCAAAATAAAAATATTTTTGGTTTTTTGATTTTCAACGAATACCTATTTTGCAGATCGAGAATGTTAATTATATAGTAAAATTAGCTGTCAACATTATCTTTATGAACATTGAAAAATAATTGTCGAGTTCTAAAATTACTTTCAAACGTTCATAAAAGTTCAATTGAATTTCGAATATGTAAAAATAAATTACATGAAATTTTATTTCAATTGGTTCAAACATTCTCAAGTAACTTACTTACTTGCAACTTACTACTGAACAGCATTTAATTTCTATTCATATAGTTTCTCAAATAGTAACACCGTTGTAATTAATTAGAACACTAATTAAAAATAATAATAATTCAAACTTTTTTTTATTTTCTTTCACAACGTATTTTTTCTTTAAGAGAAATGTTCTGTTTCACTAGTAGGGAGATGCCAAAAATGTCGATGTCTCTCTAAAGACCTTATAAAAACATTTGTATCTTAGTAGTCATGATGGTTGAACTCTTTTAAACTTATTGCAGCAAACAAAAACCCTTCAGGTATACCCATCTAATGATAAATGGTTAACGTCACCTATGGACGCCTATGACACCAGGAATGTCATGCGCGCATTGTCATTTGATAGAATTTTGAAAATTTAAACATCGAATTCGTAAGATAGTTATTATAACAATTTGTAGATTAAATAATTACTATAATGATAATTAACTATTATAATTACCTTTTAACCATCCCAGTCGGATTATTCGACAGAGAACCTGTGTGTATATGCTTACTTTTTCAAATATTAACATAGTAATAAAAGAAAGACAGTATGTAAAAAATGTTGAAAACAAAAGGAAAGATATTTAGAATATTATAAAATTACTTGTTATAGTCAAATATATTAATTAAAAAAAAACAGGCACAATATAAAATTGCCGAGTGCAGTCGAGCCCTAGAGGATTTAAAACTGCTGATTTAAAACCAAGTGATCAAAAGATTTTTTAAAACGTCGCAATTAATTTTTTCCGAAACAGATGCTTGCAAATATATTGACCACATATTTTAAACCTGTGCATTAAAAATTTTAGAAACTTTGGTAACAAAACGTTTATACTCGTACCAAGCAAACTGCATTCACCTACGTTTTTTTGAAAATTTTTGGCCATATTTTATCTATGATTTTATCAGTGATGCTACTACCGGTTTTGGTAAAGGGTATAGTATTATATTATCTGTGGTAAAGGCAAGGTATGAGGCTACCTCAAAACGTTTATTTACAATAGGTGTAACTTTTACTTCAACAAAGGTAACAAATTGTACATAATATTATGTTTGCTTATAATTATATATCACTTTTAAATAATTAACAAAGAACTGTATATGTCAATTAAGTACTACATTCTAACCTAAATATTTACAATAGCGATTTCTATTCGACAAAAATATACCCAAATCTCTTATGGTGACCCTGTTGGTAACATATTTGTGAGCAAAATCTTAACAATATCAGTCATTACAGTTTTTTCTTTGATATCGTCGTTTGATCTATTAAAATCTTGGAACGTTGCAACAAATTATTTGATTTGTCTATCAGGTCATTCACTCGTCTACTTTGTACGTAAGTCGCTAACTTGTTAAAACCAAGCCTTATGACGTAGGTTACAAGAGCTGAAATTGTAATGAGTGTTAGAACAAATACTAGGAATACATCCAACAAGTAATATTGTATGAAGTTCAAATCCTTCGCCGGAGACTGCAAGTGGTAAGCGCCTTTGTGTCTTATTACGTACTCGGTCCAGTAAATAGCTCGTTCTAAGGGTGTTTCTTTTTGATCCCTTAAGAGGAATTGTCTCTTTTTCACTTCCCTTTTATATTTGGGTTCGTTTACAACTTCTTCAATCGCTTTGTATAATTTATCAGCGGTCAGGTGTTGTAGATCTAGTTTCTTAGCATATCCGTCGATTTCGGCTTTAGCTGCGTTCCCATCATGGTCACAGAACACTGGTATACTGACGATGGGAACTCCATGATAAACTGTCTCGAACATACTGAGAAGACCTCCGTGCGTGATGAAAGCTTTAATCTTGGGATGACCTGGAAAATAATTGAAAAGGTTTTTGAAAAACGTTATTGTAACGTGTTTGCGGTTATAAAATCCAACAAACAAGTACAATATGAACGCTTCTTGAACTAGCTAAGAACTAACTATTTTATAATATATTATAGGTTTTCTGATATTTGCTCGTTCATGATATTGGCAAATGTCTCAGTCCTATAACTTATTCAGTATTTCTGAAATATAAATACTTCAATGACACATAAATATTAATGCCAAGCTACTCGTAAATATCCCATCTTTAATAATCTCTTCCTTCCCATTATGTTAAAGTTGTCCTCAAAATTTAGCAGTAAGTACTTAGTACTGGAAAATCTATATAACTTGCACTACTCAAAGCAAAATAATTAACTCACCAAGCAAATCTTGCTGTGGAAGCCACTTGTAAAGTCTCACATTGGAAGGAATATCCGTCAAATTTTGTTCTCCATCTTGCTTCCAAAGTACCCTGTGAGGTAACCTTCCCAAAGCACTGACTATCATCCGATGAGCAGCTAAAGGCATCTTGTTAGTTCTGACCGAGGACCCCATAGATACATACACGAAACCAGCTTCACCAGCGCCTGAGATCCATTCTTCAATGTCCTGAAAATAGGAATAAAATACTTTATCAACATAGGTATTGGCACAGTCACAAAATAATAATACTATGCCCAGTCATTTACACAAAAAGACAAGGAAAGGTAAGAATTCGAAATCTGACAACTTGATGCATCGCATTATCATAATCAACTGGAATACGTCCATTCAAGCCTTAGAAATAATAATTACATACAAATGATTAACATTAGATGCATTACACACTGACGTCTAATTCTGAACCGAGTACAGGTCTAGATAACTGACATACATACTAAAATATAGTTTGTTGCAAATATGAGGGTACATCATTGCCTAAACTCTAAGATTATCAATATCATAAATTCTTTTTTATAATGTTTAAAATGGCAAACAAAACAAGATTTTAAATTCAAATCAAAGTCTAAAAGATGGAAATGTTGAATAACAGATACATAATATTTCTTATGAGTATATGAAATAAAGAATACTTACAGGGCTTAGTCTTTTCGCCTCTTTACAATGAATGCAGGCAACTTCAGCCACATTTGGTAAATAAGGCCTAGGATATGAAACTGAGTAGTGTCCGTTCTGTAATATGAAACTGACATTCTTCGCCATCTCATAGGGTTGTGGTGTTTGAGGTCCAAGGTGCTTCTTGAGAACTCCACTTAGGACCATAATACTTAAACTGTGTAGAGCAACTGCAGCAACATGCAAGGCAGTATTTAGGGCCCTATCTACGAATCCCATGTTGTCAGTGAACGCCCTCCCGAAGAACGGTGTAACTGAGTATGGAGTTGGACTACCGGATATGCTGAATGGCATGGCGTAGAATCCGACCGTGTTGATGTACATGAACGGAACCTTGAGTTTGTAGACTACACCCAAAGCACATTCAGGATAAGTACCGTCAAGTATGACGAGATCGAAGCTCCTTCCAGATCTGAGGAAAGATTTTGTCTCGTAGTCGCTGAAGAATGCGTCACAGGCCTGTACAAACGTGATTTATATTTTATTTTACTTTACTGGAAAATAACAACAGGAATAAGTTACATAGTACTAGTTATATAGTTAGTTACAATCTTGTTAATATTAAAGATGCAAAAGTTTGCAAGAATTGATGAATGGGTGTTTATTACTGGACGGATTTAAATTAAATTTTGTACACGAGTAGATTATACACATAAAGAGAAAACCAAGCAGCATATCCTAACTTAAGACATAGGATATTTTATGAACCCATTCATGCAAGCCAAATTAAGGAATACAGCTAGCAATAGAAAACAATCCCAAAACGTGTTTCATCAATGACAATAAAGAAATAAGATGTTTTAGCAACCACATACTTAAAAAAATTGTTTGTTTTATCGAATATTTCAATCGTCCTTATTAATATTACAAATATGAAAGTAATTTTGTTTGTTCATTATCTATTGGCGCTTTAAGGACTCAGCCAATCGTTAAGAAATTTGGCATACATATATAATTTGGTGATAGTGAAGGGCATATAGTCTTTATATTGGTAAATTAATATATCCCAGCCACGCGAACGAATTTGCGTGTAAAGGCTAATTAAAAATATATATAATAACTAAAATATACCGTACAATCTATATATAATAGGAATTATATATTTAAAAGGTACATTTTACATTACTCAATATACCTAAATTAATTTCGTTCAGCTTAAAATTCTATTAGCGCTACAATGATTAAAATGAAGTATTGTATAAACTATTAATTTAATAAAGTTTGTTTCGAAATAAAGGGACGAAGCCAACGTGGTGTGGCTAATTTTGTAATAAAATATTGATGCCGTATTCTTTTCAATCAATAATAGCTATTGTTACATCTATTGTCTATCTATGTTCACACCAGGTCTCCAGATGCGATAAGTAAAAAAAAAAACAAAGGGTAAAAGCCTGATATTCTTATATAATACATCATGTTACATCAATTTTATAATTTGTCGGTTCCAAGACTATTGGTCCTCTCTCAAATAGCATACCATCTATTTTTTCATTGTAATAAACACATAACCTGTAGGTTGTATTATAAAATTCAAGTATTTGAAAAAAACAGCAGCTGAATTCCTTGCTCGTTCACCTCAATTAAAGTTGCATTCCGAACGAGAGGTAGAATCATAATAAATGATTATTAAAAAATGCTTGAATGTAAGTGTGTTTGAATAAAAATATTTCTTTCTTTCTTTCTTTCTTTCCAATTATATTAATCCTAAGACCTCAAGACGCGTACGGTTTTCAAAGGATGTTTAACAATACTAATATAGGTGATCTATGGTGAGATACAGATTGTCCATTATCATTAGGTCGTCACCGTCGGCTGTCAAACTATTTTATATTTACACATTTTTGTATATCTTCAATTATAAGTACTACAACGTAATAAAGTACTTATAGTACTATAAGTACTTATGAGTACTATAAGGTAATATTATTAAAAAAGGAATATTTTATTTTTTGTTTGTATATTTGTTTGTAATAGATAAATTAAAAAAACTACTTAACTGATTTCTCTGACTAAATCATTTTACCTATAGAAAGTTACGTTATCAGCGAATAACTCTTCTGCATTTTATTTAAGAGTTTCCTCTTGTCGGTGTAACTAATTCATACAATTTCTTCCAGCCAGCTTTATTCCAGGCCTTATTTTTTACTTCCCAGACGACATGACACCTAGTGTTTCCTTTATCTGTCCCATTTAGTTATTCCTTGATCTTCCTCTTTAAGCTTGTAACATAGGCTGTATATTATTTTAAAAATAAAAATCTAGCCGAGACGGGGCGCCAGTACATAATAAAATTGTAACTAAACGGTATCTATACATAGATGATATTTAAGAACATTATTCTTTAATTAATTTGCTTTTCTTTTTTACTAACATAGTTTGTAAGAAAACTGTTACTAACAAAATGGACCAAATTGTAGTCTGAGTAATAAAGCATATTATTATTATTATTATATTATTATAAGTATGAGGGATCTTAATAAAAACAATACAAGCCAAGTCAATAATTTATAGAATTTATGTCTGTCTGTAATTGTAAATCAAATACATGAGTAGTCATATACATACTACCTATACATTACAACACAAGTAGGTATGTGTAAATTCAACGTGGTATATTCGTATGTTACTCGCGTGCACATACTTCAATTCACTTAGTTATAAAGGTCTAATTGTCTTTCACAAAGGTGTGAATATAGTTATAAAATTTTCATACAGTCCGCTTGTTAGCGGAAACTCTATAGTAAATTTACATTCCGACATTCCGGGGTCGTTCACGTATCGAAGTTTTCTGCTTTTTGATAAAAAACGTTCATCATTATCATTACCGTCATGTCAGCCGTTAACTGTTCACTGATGAACATAGGTCTTCCCCATAAGGGGAGGTTTGCCAGTAGTAGCCACGCTTGGCAAGCACCGCAGTTAGGCTTAATTTTTTTTCTATGGAATAGCGTTTTCCTAAATATTGGGAGCCGATTACATATCGCTATCTACAGTTAGGCTTTGGTAATGTTTAAAGAGGGACGCTGCTGCCCATCCCTTAACTTTTAAGTTCCTTTAGTCGCCTCTTGCGACAGGGTGAAAGGAAGGGTAGTCCATTCTATGTCAGGACTACACGGTAAGATTACGATATTTTAAAATAATAAAAAGTATCCTATATAATGAACGGGTTGGGTACTAAATTATTAGCTAGTAATTTCTCCCTTTATGGGGGACGCCTTACCAGAGGGAGACTTTGTACAAAAGTCGATTGCTTGGGTACCTCTGCGCCATTCGTGTTTCTACCGTGAAGCAGTTGTGTTTGCATGGCTGTGTTTCGGTTTGAAGAGTGGGATATGGCGTGAATTTACAGGGTACAGAGGAATAACATCTGAGTCCTCAGGAATGGCAACGCATAACGCATGGTACTGCTCATGTCTATAGGCGTCGGTTACCACTTTCCATCAGGTGGGCCGTCAGCTTGTTTGCTATCTAAGATGTATAAAAAAAAACTATATCCAACAGTGGATAGTTAACGGTTGATATGATGATGATGATTTTTTGTACATTGCAGATACGAATACAGACAATTTTATAGAATCCTGCTGAGATGACCTAATATATAATTTTATTTTTTAAAGTTTTTGCATATTTTAGGACATCTTGGGATGAACAGGGAGATAACATATTATATTTTCTAGCACGAAACGGAATTATAAATATACTAGTTTTTATCCGCGACTTTGTCCACGTGAACGGGATATGTTTACTGACAGGCAAAAGTTACTATTTTAAATTTCATAGTTAAGATGTCAAAAAGAAAATCATTTTCAACATATTTTAAATACACAATCTGGACGTGACACGATGAAATAAGATTTTTTTTTCGTTTGTGTATTTAAAATATGTGTATACAACGCAGTTTAAAATTAACAGTTTTCACCTTTATAATATTAATAAGGTTAATGTAATAATTATTATATATCTTAAATAACTATCTGATATGCATAACCTTTTATACCTCATATCCAAATCTGAGGATATCCATCAGAGGCAGCGGCTCCTCACCCTTCATCCTGGCGCCCACCAGGTCGAAGGTCATGTAGCTTCTAACATAGGAGACCAAGCCCTCTGGTGCTATCTCTTCTAAGCCATCAATGTGGAAGTCAGGTGGGAATGCACTTATGAATGTGATGTTATGCCCTCTGAAATAAATATTTACGGATATATAAGTAAAATGGTAACTGTAATCAACAGCAAATATAGCTGTTCAAAGCTAGAATATATATGTATATACGTGAAGCAAAAACTTTGTATCCCTTTTTACGAAAATTGCGCGGATGGAGGAAATGAAATACGGATGAAATTTCGTACAATTATTGTTTATATAAAGGAGGAGTGCAGAATGCTAATATTTTTTTTTTAATTTATGCATAAAAATACATTAATTCAATAAAAAAAATTCACACACTACCGTGTATTTGACACATACATGCATATATACTCTTTTGTTTATTGTTAAAGTCTGTGATCAAATTGAGAATAGATTAATATTGTATTTAATATTGTTTTGTCTATAGTCTTACTGAATGTCAAACATAACCATAATAAATTCATTAGTTACAAGACCTATATACATGCCGTTACTTCCATATGGAGGAGTTCTATATTCAACAGCGGACAATTAAAGGCTGATATGATGCAAATAATCTATTTATTTATATTACGATCTAAAAGACTATGAGTCAGATACGATCTTGGAAGTCTCTTTATTTCACTTTACTAAGAACCATGGACGTATTTACGAATGGTTTAGTTTGCTACTTGTCTACAGAAACCGTAGTACTTTATTATGTACTAGTTATTCGCTTTGACTGGGCACTTCAATTAACCACCGTAGCTCGACTGTTTGACTTTTGTTACTTTTATAATCACCTTTTTTTTCTAGAAATTTCTACGGCGACATGGAAATGAAAAAAGTTTTCTGTTTCCAGGACATCGTGGTTTAATGATTACTATTCTAAATTTAAATCTGTCCGCCATCTATAATAGTAGAATAGTAGAATCTACTCTTGTTTTTACGTTTTAGTGAGTAGATGAAAAAAATAATGGCTGAGTCATCTAGTAATGAGTTTATACATAACTTTATAACTCGTAACTAGATAGATTAAAGACTTGTACAGATGTTACAAGAAGTCAATGGATACAGATGGCCCGAAACCGTTCTTTGTAGACTAGTATACTACAATTCTCAAAAGAATATAAAGCAATATGGAGTAGGCCTCATAAGTAGTTCAATTTAGCAGTATACAATAAATGTTTGAAATTATGATATAATTGTGTATGCATTTATATAATCGTCGTCATCATTTCAGCCATTTTCCATCTACTGCCAAATATAGGCCTCCCCTTACGACATCCACTGCAAAGGAAGGAGTGACTATTTTATGCCGGGACCATACGGTTAGTATTACTAGATACTTTAATATTATACCTTCAATACAAGAGCCTTATTAAACTCATCGGATTTTTTAATGATTCGTGTAATGAACTATGTAAACAAAGACCACTTTATTTATCTCTTGATCAGCTCAGAGCTTAACATCCTAAATCATGATGGATTTTCTAATCGAACGTAGTATAAAAGCAAGTCATAAGTTCATTCTATTCTTACCTTCTAATAAGTCCTCTAGCAAGTTCCCAGAACGGCATCTTATGTGACTTGGTGCCTCCCATCGTGATCATCAGGATATCGCTTCCGCATACCGACGCCGCCAGTAGAATGGGTAAGCATAATATGGGCCACCTTGACCCAAACTGAAAGAGAAACGTATCATCATTAATTAATTGACTTATGAATATTATTAACTAGCTTTTATCCGCGACTTTGTCCGCGTGACCAAGATACGTTCGCTAACTGCGATAAAAAGTAGTCTATGCCGTTCTCTGTCCGTATTGAATAATTCATAGTGATACGCTGAGAGATAATAAACAAACAAACTCACTTTCATAATTATAATATTAGTAAAAAATTTTATTTATTTATAAATATTACGCCGTGTGATCCCGGCATAGAATAGGCTACCCCTTCCGTTCCAGTGGGTGTCACAAAAGTCGACTAAGGGAAATTGAGGGATGGGCAGCAGCGTCCCTCTTAAAACATCTCTAAAAGCCTAACTGCGGATGCCAGAGGGGAGAGGGAATTGCTAGTAATGGGAATTAACAATTTCATTGCAAACAATATACCCTATTAGGTCGAACTCCACGCGGTTCCCCCTGGAAACTATTGTGATTGATTTATTGTTAGTCATGATAGGCCAACTGACCTGCTTCATCCTCATCTATCATCCCTCACTAATGTCCCCCCAGTGCAATTAACACAGGCGGGTAACCATCCCATTATCATTAATTAAAACTGCGGTTGCCAACCCACCTGCCAAGCGTGACAATTACTGGCAAAACTCCCCTTATGGGGAAGGCTTATGTTCAGCAGTGGACAGTTAATGGCTGAGATAATAATAAAAAATATCATGACGTATAAATATTTAATTGCCGTTCTTTATAATATACTAGGTTCTTGTCCGCTACTTTGTAAGCGTGGATTTCAGAAGTAGGAAAATCAACGGAATACATTGCTTCTAGATGGCACATTTAAGTTAGACCTTCAAGAACATAACTGTGAGAATTGTATCCAATTTGGTGCAGTAATTTTTACGTGTGTAGCGGAACAAACATATAGATAAACAGACACAAAATTCAAAAGATATTGTTTTATTTGGTCTTATTAAGATACCTCATATCAATTTTCATCACGCTGTGTAAGACGACTAGATGGAGTAACGACCTTAAATGCATTGCAAGGCGTCAATGGATGCAGATGGCTTAGGACCATTATTTATGGCAGTTTATGAGGGCGGCCTATACTCAGTAGTGGACGGATAATGATTAAAATGATGATATCAATTGTATTGCTTCCGCTAACCTGTTGCTCTTACATGATTGTGTTTCAGTTTGAAGGATGAATATGCCAGTTTCATAATTAATTATGTCTCCATAGAGATATAACACCATAATCTTAAGAAATAGTAACGCATGAGAGGTAAGAATATCACAGACAATAACTTTACAGATTCAATGGATATCACAATATAATATCCATAGAACTGTTTGGTGCGTATGGAAAATGACTTACGTAATAAAATATCACCATGACTATAATCACAAATAAGGTATGCAGACGTATTTGTTAATTGCTGTCATTGCAGTGAACGTAACATTCGGCATGCCTATTATATCGCCGAAAATACCTAGTCAAATACATACATATATTCGATTACACATAGTTACATAAAGTTAAATTCGAATATATATATTCGAATCCAACGTGACGGTCAATAGTATTTTCCACTAACTGAGAGTTAAATTACAGGTTTAATTAACAGTTAGTCGGACATATAAAGTTTTGGTTCCGGGAATCCCCCCGATTCGAATTCACAATTAGAACTATCCTGTCCTACTGACATAAATGCGAAAGATTGAGGATGTTTCGATATTGCTTGAAAAAAGTGTTTTAAAATTACTGTATAGATTTAAACGAAATATGGTAGACGGATAGATTATATCATAACTCAACATTCTTTATGTACTGACTCTCGTGAAGGAAGTCACCGGATACAACTAGCATATAATTATTAATTTATTAATCTGTTTAGTGCAATCACCAGTAATTGCAATTCTAAAATTCTTAGCGAAACATGTGTATGCCCATTACTGGGGTAATAGCCGACAAATGCCTCGAACTGTCCCATCAATACCATAGACAATCAAACAAGAGGGTCGAGGACAACAACCACCGCGGGATAAGACTACAATGGTTTCTCAATAAAATTATTCTCACGATATACCTACTTTACGTAGGTACTTATGTTCGAGTCGTTGTTGCCAATTATAACTAACCCTGACAATTTACATGAATTAGTCGTCATCGTCACCCAGGGTTGCCAGATATGATTTTTATTTTCAGCCAAATGCCAAATATTGTTTGTCCAAATTTTATAGTACGTTATACTTAATCTACATAATATCTTGCTCATTAACCCGATCACAAAATTGTATCGGTTTTTACCACGTTTTGTTTCACTTCACTTTTTCTACCTTATTTTGTTACCTTCTTTCGGTACTATACAAGTGGCATGACAAAAAGGAGCCCTAAAAAGCCAAAAAGAACCTATACCCAGCATTGGGTTGATGTGGGCTGAATATATAGATTGATAAATTTAGTATATTTTATATTGCTGTACGATTTACTAATACCAAAATGATAAAAAGAAATTCCAAGAATTTCATTTCTCCAATATTTCGCAAACTTTTTTGGAAAAAAGAAATACCAAATCTAGTAACGCATCTTAGGGATAAAGTCACGAATTACAATTAAATAAGAGCATTTTATCCCGTGTATTGACGAGTTATATGACTCAACTTTATTATGCCACGTCATTTTGAACAAAAAAACATTTGTATAAATGAAATCTATGTAACCAGTTCATTGCATTCGAAATATTCTCTATTAATATACATAGCTAGATCTTTTATGATATATATCGATATTAAAGACATAAGCTTTATAAATAGTTGTACAATCAGCACTATGAATATTCATTGATTTTATTAAGTGGTAGTACATATTCATTATCTAATTTCGTCAATATAAGAACATTGTCGACTCAATAACATATTTAGTGATAGTACATATTTTCTCCGTAATTTTCTTTAATAGACTATCATAGAGACTCGTAATTAATTTTTAATTACAAACAAAGACATTATTTATTATTGAAACACGATCAAAAAGATCTAACGAAATATATTTATTACTAGCTATCTTTTACCGGCAACTTCGTCTGCGAGACCATGATATATTTACGTTCGGGATATAAAGTAGCCTTATGTATCCTTCTTTATCCCATATAGTACGTGTATACCAAGTTTCAGAGTGATTGGTAAGCCGTTAAAGCGTTATGAGGTAACAAACAAACTCACTTTCTCATTTATAATATTTGTAAATATTATAAATCATACACCTTTTGAGGATATCATTTATTTGTGGGTAATTCACTGGCACCTATGTTAGCACTTTAAGTTAGTTGATCAATGTGTTTAAGTCTTAGAATAATTTATAAAAAATCAGACATTTCCATTAGTATTGTCCTAATTATTAATTGGTTAGTATATTGGTTAGTACAGGCGTGTTTTTCTTTTCACGACATTTCTACCATCATAATAATTATAAGCATACGCCTATATGGGGATCATAATTCAAAAATTTTTATTTTTCTACTACAATAGTAATACTTATTCAAAACACACTACAATCATAACAAACTACACACTCTCCCATCACGTATTTATTTATACTCAAACTAGGCTCAGCTCTTCAATTTAAACTAAGTATTCACCGTTTCCGCCATTTTTTCTTTCTCTCTGTACAAAAGTGTCGTTTATTTTTTTCACTCTCTCTTATTGATCCTTTTGCAGAATAGGCAAAAGGAATGAATCCCATACAGCTTAATCTGACGTAAGAGTAATTTTTTTAATTGATTCATTTTCCAAAGATTTTATAAAAAGAAATTATAATAAAATTATATTTTATTCGGGTTAAAAGACCTTTACACAACGTTCTCCGGGATACTTGCTGCAACGCAAGCAGTGTACACGTAACATTATTTAACTATTATATAAGACTATTTGCATATCGTAAAGCCGATACGATTGTGCAATAAAATCTATATTACCGGAATCGATGGAGTATTATAGCCACTTTGCACAAGAAAATATAGCTTTGGTTTTGGTAATGGTATGTAATTTTAATTTATGGTATGTTACAATCAAACATAACGTAGTCATTTTAGAATATGGCAAAGTAATATTGAAGGGATGAGGTGAAGGCAACTAAAGTAAAGTAGTAGTAAAGAAAGTAACTAATAAAGCACCTATAGACTTCATTTTCAAATTTTTGAGGAAACCTCTTGACAAAAAACAATACTGAACACGCATATTAAAAAGAAATGATCATAGTCATATAATATTTATTAATAAAAAAAGATGTATTCAAAATTTTTTTTATATATTTAAATTTTATTAAAATTTTCCAATAATAAAACCGATTTCATCCTAACAAACTAACGTGGAATAAACACACCAATTAAAATTTGCTGAAAATTAATAATGATATAACATAATATACAATATAAATTTATTATACTCTCTGCTATTTCGGTAAATATGTACCGATTCTATATAGTTACCTCATTGTATACTTACGCTGATGTTACGACTCCAATGTAAATATTTGAAGGTAGTAAAGTAAATGTAAAGTTTACCGAACTAAAACTAACCATGTCGATAGTTGGTCCAAAAATTTATCAAAGCGCTGGTTTACATTGGGCCAGTTACTAACCACAAACTTGACACGGAAAGCTGATTTTAACGTAATCGAAACACATCGTAATCATGTTTAACAGACGTGAAATAGAGGTTATCGATTATCGTATGATATTTTGGGAGTCGATCTCCATCACAAGTCGGAAGTGGTGCCGTAATGTGTGAAGAGAAGAAGGCACTCGTTTACTTTTAAATATTATATTTTTATATTTCTCTGTAATTAACTTAAGAAACTTGGATAAGTTATCAAAATAAAAGTCAGCTTACTGGCTAATATTGTTCTACTACTTTCCTTTTAGTAGGGTTTTCGAAAAGAAAATGTTATATTAATCCAGTCCACTGCTAAAACATAAGCCTTCCCCATAAGGGAAGTTTTG